CTGATCGGATTGGATAAGAAACTATAAAGGTTATAAATGCCTTCTCCGTAGATTGTATCAACCAGAATTAGATAAACCTTGATTGGATCAACCTTTATTTGACCTTCGGTTGATTTAATCAACATTGATTGGATCGTGGGATCACTCAGTGCCTGAGTTATATATAAACCAGCATGACCGGTCAATGTCAGAAATTAATAAGAGAAGTAAACTTCATATATTATTAACTATTTGACCTACTCAATTTCAAAAAATGCCAAAAGCAATCAAACAGAACTATTACAATCAAAGTCGGCCAAATCATTTGTACATATTACAAATCAATTGTACATATTAGGAAAATGTGATGGAAACAGACTTTAAATAAACGTAAAGCAATCTAAGACATCTTGTAGATAACATAATAAATTTGTACATGATTATTACTGATCTCTCGAACTAACCTAACTAGGTATGTCAGCATTCACACACGGAGTAGAAAGGTTTTGGAAAAATATATCAAATGAGACGGAAACAATTGAAATAACTGTTTATATAATATGATGATGCTCAAAGAGACCCTTAAGTCCCATACTTACGAAAATATAACACAAACCAGTTCAATCATTACCAAACAAAGATAAGTGAAATACATAAGATGTTACAGTAATAAACGAATTATTATCTTATATATGTGCTAATTATACTTGAGACAATGTTGATTGCAAGTTGCACAAAATACTCTCATACCTAATGTTAAGTCTTATTGTTTTGGTAAAGATTTACATTAAAAAACCATCAGTTCATGATGACACTCCACCTCACCATTCCAAGCATTTGTGCTAAAATGCATGTATTATATGTAATCTGTTAAAGCATTTACAAATTCAGTATCGACACGTGTTTTCACATAACACTGATTTTTTTTTAAAATTAGATAACAACATTACGTCACAATGTGGTATACATTTGTATTTATGCAGAACTACTAAAATCAAGCAATGAATTGAATGTGAAAGAAGCATTGGACATTTAATAATTTTTGGTGACCTTGACCTTGCATATATTGACCTGGATAATGCTGTAATGATTTTGAACATTTGTTATATAAACACTTGATTTGAGACGTCTTATAATAAATGATCCGTGCACACATGGTTTATAATTTTCATCTGATCTTTGAAATCTCGCTGTAGGAAACCTTTGTATTAAGCAATACTTAAATCCATTGATGCTTGCAGAAGATATGCTCAGGTAAAAGCTAAATACCAACCCCTTTCCCCTGCCCTATCCTGCCAGGAGTGAACCTATAATACCTGTATTTTTTACCTAGACGGACGATTAAAAAGTCAAATTTGATCCCGTTTTGTTGAATTAAACATTTTGTTTGTTTACGTTATATGAAAATTATCCAAAGACAATGATCACAACGGCTCAAAAGTAGGGGAAGTAACAATCGATTGTTAACTCCTGTTGTGACTGTTGTTTCACATCGCGGAAAACAGTTATCTTTGTTTAATATAATTAAATATTCATTAACGTTGTAATTGTCAATATTTTTTTTCCTTAACCTTATATATAAAATTATTAGAAACACGAGGGCTTATCAAAAAGTAATAGACGGTCCCAAAATGATTTGACAAAACTCACTCCCGAGCTTACGATTTTACATACATCAAACCCCAACCAATTTTAGAGATATCAAAATCCCAAATGAACGCACAAAACGTCAAAATTATAAATGCTGTTGGCTCGAATTGACTAAGACGGTACTCAAAAGTAGAAGTTACCTTCGGAAACAATGAGAAAACAAACAAAAATAATGCATAATTGCAGACTCAGTTTGAAAGTGCAACATTCCTCCAAAAACCCTAGCACATTTAATTGTGTTAAATGCAGGGTTTTTCTTCGAAAACAGGCCAACCAAGGACGGAATATGTTGAGTAAGTAGTTATGCAATACGAAAAAACGAAACATGGTACGCGAAATAAACAAATAACATTGGCATTCCTTGTTTTGTCTGAAAGCAATGACATTAGCATTTTTCTTTTTTGATCGTGGGTAAAAAACATCTGTCCCATTATATAGTTCGTTTTTATTATGAAATAAATTACAATATCGGTCACATGTGTGTTACAATATATCGTAGAGGTATTGACTGTAAGTTAAACATTTCGTTTCATAAGCAACTTTAGTCGCATAAGAGGGTTGATAATAAATTTGAACAAATTAAATACATTTTTTAAGAACTGAAGTTGTTTGACTTTTCAATTTTCAACAGTATTAATTCATATTTCATTTAAGTGATTTAGCAGTCATTTTGCTAAACCTTACCATACAAAAATAAGAAACCGTAACAAATCACCAAAACGACAAAACTGAAACAAAGATGCAAATTCGGTTTAGCAAGTTCTATGACGGTATTGTAATTTCAAACTTCCAGCCACATAATTAGACGAAAATCAACTTTATACATGTAAATGGAGAAAGTTTCATTCAAGAAGCATCCACAAATGCGTTCATACGGCATTCATCATCGTGCCATTTAAAAAAAAAGCAGCGTTAGTCCACATGTAAAAATTGCATGACCCTAAACGAGATAAACAATTGGGTAGAATGAATTAAATAAAGTTTATAAGGAATCGGAGCTTGCAGAGCCTGCATTTTATTGATTGATAAAACGTCTGGAGACAAATTTTAAAAAAGCAAACAAAATATCCTAACGGTTGTTATAAAGTGTTGAAATAGGAATATTTGAATCCATCTAAACACATTAAATAAAAGGAAGTAGAAAAATTACATACACATAATAATGTCGTTCTACACGACTTCCAAGTCGAAAACATAAAATCTACATGTGAAAGTATGGGGCGAATTTTTACAGCCACCGTCCCCATTTCATTGGACTTTGCATTTCACATATAAACATTTTGTGATTTGGAGCACTCCAAATGTATTTTTAATGTAGATTAAACCAACAAACTTTTTATAACATTTTAATAAATAAATTCAGCAAATTTCGCCTACTGATGATGGAACGTCAATTTTTAACTTTAAATAGCCAAAATCAAATCTAGAGTCTTAAACATTACCATACATTTAATATTAAAACAGGGTATCCGCAATATACTTCGTAACAAAGTAATTACAAGTACTAGATGTGTGATGTTAAAGGCGCGCATTCAAACAAATCTCAGGATGACGTGAGCAGTCGAGAAGGAAAAGTAAAGTGATCGCTTGAAAGAACACTATTTCTTTTAACTGGATTGCATTCCTTATTTTATAAAAAATGTTCACCTGTGTGGTCCAAAATCACATTACATAATTGACCATTGAATATGAACATGTTCAATAAACATTCACAGTAACGTCTTTTTTCGTCATCGAAATGCTACATCACATCACACACACTTTTATTGAAAAGCAAAACAAAATGAACAGTTATTTAGATCTTTACAGGAAATAAACGTGACTCCTCCTGGCCTGGTGGGCTAAAGCCTCTAGGTTCGATACTTTCAGTATGTGTTGGATATCTAATCGTTAATTACAATGCAAAGAGACCCTAAGTTACATACAATATGCTATTTGCTTATAATTCTGGAACAAATAGGAATGTAAGGGTAATGTTTGGCTAATGCTTTAGGCAATCTCATTAAAATCGTATTCTAACTGTCACTCTACTACCCTTCTCTAGGTAGGATCTGAGTACATCGCATTCCGCGTCGCCTCAATTTGACCTTTTGATTAGCCAATCAAATCATTGGCTTTAAAATGTTTAGGTGTAAGTCATGAATCTCCGACACCATCGGAAATTTCAATGTAAACGCTACGTAGCGAAGAGTAAAGGATCGAAAACGATGATCTGATTTTAATAAGATCGCTGCTTCAGGTAGCCAACTTCCATACATCTTAAGAATGCAGCACACACGAAAGGCACGAAGAAGGCTATATGTCTTTAAAATATGTGGGTAAGAAAAAACAACAAAAGGTTTTCACATTTTATATAACGTAATTATACGAGGATTTGTCACAGTAACAGTCACACTGTTATCGATATTGGTAAATGGTTAACCCTAGGTACTACTTATGTAAACCGTTTCAGGCTTTCTCATGCGAAATAAACCTTCTGTTTAACAATAAAACATCGGTATGTATCAATTTAAAAATTGATCAGGACTATATTTTTATTTCACGAGGGTTGTCGCAGAAGTAAAGAGACTTTTATTATAACTGCTTTATTAACACTCGTGTCGAAAATTTCTGCTTGAATATAATTTAATGTGTATCAATTTTAAAAAAGCTCTACATCGAAATTCTTTCTTTTTACAAAATCGGAGCGTTTCCAAGGTAACATGTGTGACGGTCGGCAAACTCAAAATTTTATGGCGTCAAGAGAAAATTTGCCCTCTTTAAAATAGAGAAATACAGAATCCCAAAAGAAAGCCCAACACGACTAAATTGAAAATGTTGCAGGCTCGGCCAGTGTGTCCCGATCAGCTGGCAAGCATATGTGTGTCTTCTCGTCCGTTTGGAAAATACAAAGCAAACAACCGCCGAAGAAGGCCAGTGTATCACGCACATGTGTGTCTTCTTTATGGACAGATAGGGAGAAGTTAATAGCGGAAACTCAAAAGACCTTGTCAGACCTTTATATTGGCACTTTTTACAAATAGGTCGCACGCCACAGGAAGTGTGTTCAAACTGGCGGAGACTACGTAGAGAAAGCGCTGTAGGCAAAGTCATTTATGACTTAAGTAAACTTTTTTTTGTGCGCCAGGTTTAAGACAGCGATATATGCATTTTTATGTAGAAATTTTAATATTACATGTATTTCTACGGAATTTTGGAATACTATTATAAAATATGACGATCTAGCCATGTGTTTTTATTTTTTGAGTTTACTAATGATATCTCAAATTTCAACCGTTGTCTCTTCTACTTCTGCGACAACCCTCGTAGTTTCATAAAATCTTATAAATACCGGCTTGTTCATCGATCATGTGTACGTTTTACGTCCAGGCTTCATATAGTACACACTATACACTGTTTTAGAATTGTATGGTAACTTCGTTCAAAATACATCCACAGAGGACTGGAGATGTCTAATAGACACGTCATCCTGTTCATAATTTGTAACAATCTCGTTATGATTTTTGCTCCTCCTAAAGACCCGCCAGGTACTGTCGCACCTCCAACCACAACGATGGGGATTGCAGAAACGCAAACTGAAGATAAGGGAACAGATAACGTTGGATCAGATCTGGATGGGATGAAGGCGTTATTTAATGCAACATTATCATAGTAAGATAAAGGTTTATTGTAAGATGTACAGTAATCTACTTATCTATAATATTTTAAACCATAAAAGATATTGACATTTGAAGGATTTTCGTTAAATTGAATATATTGTTGTAATGAATGTTATATTTCATTTAACAGATGTTTGTTACATTTTTTTCCGACAATGTGCAATATTGTGCGATATTTATGCAATTAAAGCAGTATTATAATGAATTGCTGTTTGAGTCTTAAATTGTTTTTAAACTATCAAATGAAGCAAGTCACCATTGGTTTATTACAAAAAACAATCTTTTATTGTGATAATATTAATACCGGCGTATCTAAATGCACATTAAACTCCAGAAGTGCTTTAATTGCTATTTTTGAGGCATTTTATTATTTGGTTGTGTAATTTATAGCTTCGTAAATGTAATCATTGGCCATTTACCTGAAGCGTGTTTTGTATGGAAGTCAAAATACTATGGTTACATTTTGCTATTTTTGCGGCAAATTATTTGAATTGTTAAAGTAAAATTCACCTTACATGCTCAAAACCATAATAGAAACATTATTATAACATTCATGTTTGCCTTTACTAATGAAGCCTTTTAAGCCCTTTAGAAAAAAACGTATGTTTTAAATAATCATTTGTATTTTATTTAAATCATTTTTGATAGTAACATTATTTGTTTCCGTAGCTATGATACAAGAATCCGGCCACGAATCGACCAATCCCTTGTTGTCAATGTAAACACTACGTTTGTGCCGCAGAGTGTACTGCATTTTGATACATCCGAACAGAAATTCTCTGTCCTCGGTTACTTCAGGATCGAATGGAAAGACGAAGTGATCACGTGGAATCCCGACGATTATGCGGGGACAAATTATATAAAAGTCCCCATTTCCGAAATATGGACTCCTAGCCTAATAATTCTTAAGGTATTCTATTCCTTTTGATCTTCGATGAATTGTGTGTCTGGTTGTTTTGTAAAAACATCGAATCGTCTACTTCTAATAAATTCTTTTAAACATACCTCTAGTAAATTCTTTTAAATGCTTAAATATATTTTGATTGTGTTACCTTTCTATTTGTCATTGTATTCGGAAAACAAGAATAGAAATAATAATTTGTTTTAAGAGTCTTTGCACAATAGCAAATTACGCCATTGCCAATATGTTTTTTTTAAAAGAACAGTACATACTGTTTTGATGTAAATTCTTTCATACCAGTTCAACGGGATTTCATTGTTGATTTTAACTTCTATAGGCCTTTGACGGTGACGGTGTTGTTGGAAATGCAAAAACAGACATTGCTAAAATCTGGTCTGACGGTTCTGTTCAATGGGTTCCAGAGAGTATATACAGGTATCTAAATCAGTATATTTGATGAGAAAACAAAACACGTTAATGCAATTGAGTGCTGATATTTTAACTTTTTTTTCTATTCGATATTACACAATTTAATGTACTGTTTATATTAAAATTACATAGACTGTTAATAAGATATATTTGTATTGTAAATTAAACACTTTGATTCATCATAGTGTCAAATGTTATTTTCATTGCAATGTCAGTTATGTTACATTTAGTTTGATATAACAAATGAATTCAACGCTACATTGTGGAGAGAGAATAATATTGAATTATCTATCAGAAACAATAAAGTAATTAACTAAATATTAACTATTATAATGACCCTGTTTTGCCCTAAAATGATTCTGTATATCTTATTTATTTTTATCAGCGTAGTTTGCAATGTGAACATCAAGTTATATCCGTTTGATCACCAATTCTGCACAGTTACATACTACGTATCTGATGAAACTATAACAACCGTTATGCTTGACCACCCTAAAAGCGTCACTCTGGACGAATACACGGAGAATTCAGCATGGAAAATAACCAGTCTCAGCAAGAGGAAGTACCTTCTGTATAACACATACCACATCGACATAGAATTTAAGCTACAGAGACGAGCTAACTTTGCAACATTTACTTTGATTATGCCTCTCCTGATGTTGGCTTTTCTTAATATCTGCGTGTTCCTTGTTCCTGTTGGGTCTGGTGAGAAAGGTTCTTTCGCAATTACAATATTCCTTTCTTACGGTATCTTCGTTACAATCGTAAGTGACACTCTACCGGACAATTCCCTTCAAATTTCCTACTTTCTTCTCTTTATCATCGTCCTGCTTTTTATGAGCGTCCTGTCTGTCGTGTACACCATCAAACAAGCTAAACTTATGTCTAGTATGGGTGACAAAGAATGCGGCATCAAATGTTTACAACCTAGAAAACCCGTGATAATGAAACCGACACCCTTTGATCCAACTAAAGGATATACGGATGACGAGAATGATCCAGCAGATTGTAAACCTGTCAGCAGAAATGACGAAGATGATGAGATATATACATGGGCAATGTTTCTGGAGAAACTCGACGTGATTCTCTTCATCATCTTCTTTGCTCTGGTACTATTAGCAACATCTGCTTTCTTCAGTCTGATGCTTCAGAGAGTAAGCGAGGATAAGTTCAGTCAAATCTAAGTTACGTCAGATATGATACAATGGGATCTATATGATATCAAAGTTTTTAATTTAAGTTTTATACCGGTATATGACACGTGTTGTGTGATTTTGTACATAAACAATCGTTTGCAGTGTTTCTTTTTATTGTGTAAAAGAGTAAGCGAGTTCAGTAAAATATAGGTGGCATTAAATGTACTCGACATGTTTTACAATGTATTTTTAGACTTTTTTTGTATATTAATCACAATGAGTACATTAATTGAACGTGGGCGGTATTAAACATTTTAAAAACATTTTAACAATAAAACAAGCAGTCATGATGACTTCAATGTGAATTCTAGTTGTGCTATATGATTAATTGTTCTGCTAGTTGGTCTTAAAGACTTCGCCGCCTACGAATCTTTTTCACATAGGATATTTTAGATGACCTATTAAAATGACATTTTCCTTATTGTTTTGCTGCCAAGATAAGTTTAACAAGCAGTTAATTTCAAAAGATGCAATATCATTACAAATATTGATCAATGATTTATGAAGAAATTGACAAACATAAAATGTTTAAACAATCTCACTCATAAAAATATCGCCTAACTCTGTTTTAATGTTTCCGATACAATACGAACAATATATATTAGAATTTGCCGTTATCCAGGTGAATAATTCATTACTTTTGAATAGTAAAATATTATTTGAATATTATTTTGGAAAGATCTATAATAGTGATTAAAATTTACATTCACAATTTACACTTTAATGGGCATAGTGTCACTGTAACATTCGCCAAATAAAATTTAACGTGATTAGAACATTCGAAAATTGTAGCTTACATGTGCACATTGTCATAAATTTGATATTGTTTGGTATTTTTTTTATATATTTTTTATTTCGATTTAGAATTTTTCAATACGTATTTCGTTATTTTCTGTTCATTTATTGTTTTATACAGATCGTTTATAAAATTACTTGGACTTATTATGACTGTTCAGTCAATTTTAATGTCACAAGGTTGGCATGTAATTAGGTTGTAATACTTAAAGCTTGTTATATTGTGAGTACCAAAATAGACCCAAAATAGAAAATCTATCAAAAATAATAACATTTGACCGTATATGTTTTTATTTGAAGCGACGATTTTATACATGTAATTGCAAAAATCAATGCGCACATTATGTAAATAATTTTCAACCGCCTGAATTTTTGCCAGAATTTAAAACACAAAACATGTAGCTTATTATTCTCAAATGGAATTTGAATGTTATTATTCAAGTATTGAAACAGATTTACAAAAGGTTTAAATACGAAAAGATAACATAACACAATATACTATTTTCTGAACTTCTTATTAAAAAAATTAAGAATAAAAAGAATAAATAATGGAAACTATTTTTAGAATAATTATACATTTTTTGTACTAAAGATCATATAATTATACTATCTCTACCCGGCCGGCCGTACGTTTATGGCGAATTTTAAGTTAATTTTGAAAGACAAACCATATGGTTAGTCAAACAAGGAGTGCAATTGTACATCTAAAACACTTTCCTTTGCCAAGTTTTGACAACCTTCCTTTTGCAATAATTCAAAATTGATAGCATTGAATGAAAATTAATATTACTAAAAATCCTTTGTTTTTTTCTGAAAATAAAAGCAATAAATCTATCATTTTTATACAAAATAATCTGTTCTTGCTCCCTTATTTTTTTTCCAAATGTTTTCAATTTTTTATATATTAATTCATGTTTCGTTATAGTTTAAAAAACAATTACATTGGCCAATTATCTGAAACTATTTTCAGCTTTATTGCATTTTTGCAATACATTTAGTTATAGTGCTTTTGTATTTTGTGTGGAAGTCAAAATACCAGTTTGTTTACACTTTGCTACTTTTATTATAAATTATTTCAAAATACATACTCCTTTTTAAAGTAATGTTTATATTACATGCTCAAATACCATTATTTAGATGTTATATAAACTCATTATAATTGTTCTTTAAAACACTAAAATATGTATTTATTTCTAAGACAGAAAATGCCTTTATATTTTAAAACATTGAAATTAAAATATTTGTGAGGTTCAGACTTTGAAAGCTACATAACGCTCAATAGATTATCAAATTAATGCATACTTTAAAATTAAACATTATATTATAATACAGGATATGAAGACAAAATAAGTTAAAGGTAATTTTGTTACATTAAGTCATATATTAAACAGACATGATGCATATTTCTTCGTGTCAAATATAGATTTATTAGCTTTTATATTTCAAAAGGTTGATAATTACAATGACGTTTCAACAATAAATGATAATGGCAAATATTTTCGATAAATATTTACAGCATAATGCCGCTGTAGTTATCTGTATTAGAGATACATGTATATCTTTTTAAATAAAGGTGGTAGTTTAAGTAGCTGTAATTTGTGTCATATATGAAGTTTCCTTTCACCATAATAGAAGTATTTCGGGGTACATTTCTAGTTATGTTGTTGATAACTGTTAAACATTGAAAATGTTGGCAAAGTTCGTATGTTTAGAGGTAGATTGTTTCACTCAGGTATGGCAGTTGGGAAAAAAATAATGTAGTTGATATACGGCTTTTGTCATTTGAGTTCCTTAAGTTGTAGCGCGTGTTTGTTGGATCAGGTAGAGGTGAAGCCAGGTATTCAGGTGCTACATTGTATGTCGTATTTAATTTTGTAAAACAAAACAAGTAAAATGGTTTCCTGCGGTGAACATTTTAATGATATAAAGATATTTGATTTAACTATTTTCAACATTATTTGGGGGAGGGGGATAAATAAACGTTTGTAACAGGAACATAGTTGACTATTGGAACAATATAGAAGAAGGTCTTTGGAAACTGTATGTGACCGTTGAAGACCGGAGAAGGTCGAACATAAAACAATTATTTCTTTTTAAGAAAATGATTAAATAGCCCTACCATTAACCGGTTTAAACTCCCCAGCAGTCATTATTATGCTGCTGACCGTTCCAAGGCGGCGCCCCACTGTGTTCCTCAGATGTATGTCTTATGTTGTTTCATACTGTTTTGGTGACACTTTTGCTTGTGTCCCTTGTTGTTTTCTCGTCTACGGTAAGTATCTTCCCCATTGCCTCTAGTTTTTATTTCTTTGATTACTCCCCACCCCCTCCCCCCGGTCTCCTGTCCCCTTCCCCTTTGTGGGCCTATTTTTATTTTCTTTAAATTCCTAATCAGTTACAATTTAATTATCATTTAATGATTAACCTGTCCGTGCTCTGTCTTTGCCCTGTTTTTGTTTGGGGTCCCCCTGGGCTCCTTGCCATTGGTTCTTGTTGCTGGGTCATGTGGGGGTTGCGTTCATTGAACGCCGCTTTTCCTTGTTGATCTTGTTTATCATATTTTATGAATAATTCCGAGCAAAAAAAAAATAAAGTAAACACACAAGTTTACGCAGAAAATATCTCTATTTATTATGGCAGATGCCACTACGAATATTTTAATTTCGTAGATTTTCAGTATAAACAATTTATTGTTTGTAAAATTTGAGATAGATATTGAAGAAACATTGATAATTTTCAAAGACATCATTTAAGTTTTTCCACCTTAAACGGTAAAAGAATTATAGAAAATTAGAAATATCACGTAATAGATTTTTGTTCTCAATTAGGTGTAATTCGGACTAATTCCCTACAGGTAAATCCGTAACGTACCGGCAAACGGTATTTAGCTGTGTTTTCGAAAAGGTCAATTAACCAATCATATACGGTTTACAGATCACATGATCCTCCATGTAACGAAAACAGGTCACGTGCTCCTCCATGCCTCAAAAGTTAAACGCGTACCAATACCCTGCGGTCTCCAGACCGCAGGGAATAAGTCTATGATCATGACGTCTCTGCTCTAATGTTTCCAAACTGATCTCATTTTTAAGATTATTTATAGAAACAAGCCTCGTAGCAGCCGATTATATTCTAGCAAACTCGTTTTGTATTCTATCTAAAAGACCAAATTCATATTGAAATGCATTTCCCAATACGTCGTCAGCATATTTCATAATAGTGTTTATCTTTTATGTTTAATGATATTAAAATCTTTATTTTGAAAGATGTAAATTTCAAAAATGCACAAATATTCCGCGTGCATATTGAAACAAAACTTTTCATTCGATATATATCAAAGTTGTCTTTTCATTTATAGTGCTTTTTGTCTACTGACAGCTTATAGTTAATTAGCCTTGTCAAGGAGGGAATAAAGAAAAAGTTTATTTTATTCTTTTGTGTGATGCAGCAGGTACGAGAATGCTGCTTCATGAGTGTACATTGAAAAAAACAATACTAAGCTCTGCCTGGATAGACCGGGGCTCTGCCTGGGTCAACCGGGGCTCCTCCGGCGTCATCCGGGAACCACCGGCATGAACCGTAGCTTCACCTGGGCTCTGCCTGGATGGTCCGGAGCGAATCCTGAGTTGTTAGTTGGGAATTACCGTAGTGCTGCCGGGGTAGGTGTGACCGCAACAATAATTACACCCCGGATCTTCCCGGATCATCCCAGTAACTAACCGGGTGGTCCTTGGCTCTGCCTGGAATAAGTGAGACCGTAGCTTTAACCATTTCCGTTCATTTAACAATAGAATAGCTAAGGGAGTCATCACATTATTACTTAAATAATAATAATAATAATAATAATAATAAGAAGAAGTTTGGGATACTTTACTTTAAGATTGAATGGATTGAATTGAAACACGAATTGGTCATGTGGAATCCCAATGATTTTTCGTGTCCGGTCCATAACTTTCTTATCTATGAAGGGATTTTGAAAATACATGCCATATTTGTTCACCATAATTAATAAATGTGTCATGCGCAAAACACATTATGTAACAATCCCTATTACTCAAATATGGGACAGGTTAAAGTATATTTACAAAAATAAATTGGTCAGACTCGGCGCAGCCGCGTACCAATTTAATTTAGTAAATACCTACTAATAAATTTTTACCAGCTTTACAGTTTACCGAACATGATCCAGCAGATTGTAAAGTAGATAACAGAAATGATGATGATAATAAGATATACACCTGGGTACAAAACGAAAAATAAAAAATGTTGCAGACTCGGTTTGATTGAGCCTGTTTATGGTAATTTAGATCTAGATGTAATTCGAAGAAAGCACTAATCCTAATGTGCTAATGATAGATTAAGTGAAATACTAGTTTATCATACTTTTTTTGCGGTGACATTATTAAATGAGATAACATTTGTTTAATGGCGTAAACTGTATTTAAGTCCTTTAAACCGGTAATCATATTTAGTTGATTAGTATGTATATTTAAGTAATAAAAAAATCAGGATAAATTATTTATTTCCCGACAAAAGTGTTTTTTTAATACATGTAAGTCAATTTGGACTGATAGTTTTTTCTTGTCAGACTTTTCTAACCCTCTACTTTTACAAAGAGTGTGAAAGCACATACATACTAGTACTGGACATTTCAGGGGTAAAAACTAGAACAACCATATTTATATGCACGTATCTGCGGTGAAAACATGCATGGTATATTTATTGTCCCCCGCCTTTTCGAAGAAAAAAGGGGGGTATAGAAGTAGGCTCCGCCCGTCTGTCCGTCCGTCTGTCCGTCCGTCACTTTTTCGTGTCCGGTCCATGACTTTGTCATTTATGAAAGGAATTTAAAATAACTTGGCACAAATGTTAATTATAATAAGACGATGTGTCATGCGCAACAACCAGACCCCTACCTCCAGGGTCAAAGTCGCACTTGCTCATTCAAGGTCAACATTGTCTATTTGAGGGTATATGTCGTGTCCGGTCCATAACTTTCTTATCTATGAAGGGATTTTGAAAATACATGCCATATTTGTTCACCATAATTAGACGATGTGTCATGCGCAAAAACAGTTACCTACCTTCAAGGTCAAGGTCACCCTTGGAGGTCAAATATTAACATAGTCTGTTACAGGGTATATTTCGTGTCCGGGTCCGGTCCATAACTTTGTCATTTATGAAAGGAATTTGAAATAACTTGGCACAAATGTTTGTTATAATAAGGCAATGTGTCATGCGCAACAACCAGACCCGTACATCCAGGGTCAAGGTCGCACTGGCTCATTCAAGGTCAACATTGTCTATTTGAGAGTATATGTCGTGTCCGGTCCATAACTTTCTTATCTATGAAGGGATTTTGAAAATACATGCCATATTTGTTCACCATAATTAATAAATGTGTCATGCGCAAAACACAGTCACCTACCTCTAAGGTCAAGGTCACACTTGGAGGTCAAATATTAACATAGTCTGTTACAGGGTATATTTCGTGTCCGGTCCATAACTTTGTCATTTATCAAAGGAATTTGAAATAACTTGGCACAAATGTTTGTTATAATAAGACGATGTGTCATGCGCAACAACCAGACCCCTACCTCCAGGGTCAAGGTCGCACTTGCTCATTCAAGGTCAACATTGTCTATTTGAGGGTATATGTCGTGTCCGGTCCATAACTTTCTTATCTATGAAGGGATTTTGAAAATACATGCCATATTTGTTCACCATAATTAATAAATGTGTCATGCGCAAAACACAGTCACCTACCTCTAAGGTCAAGGTCACCCTTGGAGGTCAAATATTAACATAGTCTGTTACAGGGTATATTTCGTGTCCGGTCCATAACTTTGTCATTTATGAAAGGAATTTGAAATAACTTGGCACAAATGTTTGTTATAATAAGACGATGTGTCATGCGCAACAACCAGACCCCTACCTCCAGGGTCAAGGTCGCACTTGCTCATTCAAGGTCAATATTGTCTATTTGAGGGTATATGTCGTGTCCGGTCCATAATTTTCTTATCTATGAAGGGATTTTGTAAATACTTGCCATAATTGTTTACAATAATCAGACGATGTGTCATGCGCAAAAATCGGTCACCTACGTCCAAGGTCAAGGTCACACTTGGAGGTTAAATACTTACATAGTCTGTTATAGGGTATATTTTGTGTCCTGTCCATAACATTTTCATAGATCAAAGGATTTTGAAAATACTTCGCACAAATAGTCACTATAATAAGAGGATGTGTCATGCGCAACACATGCATCCTACCTCCAAGGTCAAGGTCACACTTAGAGGTCAAAAATTAACATAGTCTGTTATAAGGTATATTTTGTGTCGGATCTAGAACTTCTTCATAGTTCAAGGGATTTTGAAATAACTTGGCACAAATAGTCACAATAATAAGCCGATATGTCAAGTACAACACCTGCACCCCTACCTCCAAGGTCAAGGTCACATTTAGAGGTCAAAATTTAACAGAGTCTGTTAATTGGTATATTTTGTTTCCCGTCCATTACTTCTTCATAGATTAAGGGATTTTGAAAATACTTGGCACAAATTATAGTCACAATGATTAGATGATATGTCATGGGTAACATCTGTGTCCCTACCTCCAAGGTCAAGGCCACACATAGAGGTCAAAGATTTACATAGTCTGTAATAGGGTATATTTTGTGTCCAATCTATAACTTCGTCATAGTTCAAGGGATTTTAAAAATACTTGGCACAAATAGTCTCAATAATAAGACGTTATGTCATGCACAACATCTGCTCCCCTTCCTCCAAGGTCAAGGTCACACTTAGAGGTCAAAATTTAACATGATAATTTTTTTTAATTCCTTGTTTCATTTTATTTTTTTAATAAATTTATTGTTGCATTTATCATAATTTTAGACTGAATGTTCTGAGATCCATCTTCTTTTCAATCTTTTGAAATAGCACAATTTTATGCTTCATATAAAACTTCCCGAGGCGGGGGACGTTGGTAACTCTGTTACAAATTCTTGTTTAACTAGATATGGGGAGAGCACTGAGATGTAATGTAAACAAAATTTAAGATGAAAGAACATACAGATTCTGAAGTAGTCATTACTTTGAACTATTTATGCATGACTGCAAATTCACTGACTCTAATAGCTGTTTTGACACACAGTTAAGCATTGACAATAAGGGTAAACGGAATTAGTTTAATAAAAAAATGACTGTTATAATTCTGCTGCACAAAATTGTAACTAAAACATGACTGGCATTTCAAATCTTTCTTTTTCATTCTTATGCTTGTGCTTAAGGATTCCTCTGTTGTTGGGTCGACATGTCTCTTAACAGAATGAAACATTACTATCACATAACAATAAGCCGATCACACTTAGATGTTAATACTTTTTGAAAAAAAATGCATAGTTGTTGTTATGTGTACATTTCTGATTTCTCAGACGTAAAGTAAAGGGATTTTCTACCAAAACGTTACAAATTATCACTGTTAGAATAAGTAAAAACAACAAAATATTATTCCTAATGGTTAAGTATAAAGTGAGGATTCTCGACGTGTATTTTTTTCAGCTAATGTAAACAAGCATAGGCTAACTCATAAAACCACCCAGAATCATTATCATGCTTGAACTTTTAAGAGCAAAACATGGTAGTCATTTAACCTTAAACTATATTAGTCATTACAAAAGGGGAAAGAACACATTAAAAATATTCAAATTAGATCTAGTTAAATTTAATAAAGGGTGTAATCACGTACTTTAATTGACAATTAATGTCCGTAGTGTTATAAGATTAGGTTTCACGTTTTCTTGATTTTAAAATCAAGACGCATTTTGTGAAATCATCTTAGCTCATTTTATGCGGAATGGTATTCTTTCACAACGTTCTAATCGGATGCGCGCCGTTGCTATGGTTTCAATAAAAAAAAAAAAAAACTTTTTAAAAAAAATGAAAGGTCAAGCCGAAAATTTATTTTTCAGCTTAAAATATTGGTTTAATCAAGTTGATAGCTGGCCACAGCTATATGACCACTCTGGCAATATAATAGTTGCACTCGATGACTGAAAGGCTTTGTTACGGTCTTACTAGCGTTTATAGGAAGCACGGCGGCTCTTTCGTTTGATTTACGACTGCTTCTGAGCGATCGTAGAAAAATGCTCTATCTTACGATTATCGTACGTTTGATAAGACAGTTTCCAAATCGAACGAATGACGAACAACACTCATACGATTAAAACGGACATACAATTGTTGATTAGGCGGCCTCTGATGCAAATATTTTTGGTATGTAATTATCTGTTGAAAAGTTGTAGTACATAGCAATCGTTTATTATTTTAAAATCGTTTTTGTCAACAGGGCTAAGTTACGTCACGAGTTTTGATAACATATCAGTTAATGTTGCCAGTAGATACTTCGTAAAAACAACATTATGTACAAACTAATATTTTAGAACAAGACAAAATGCTTAGCAAAGAGCCTCAAAGTTACCTCCTAGGTGAGGTATTCAAAAATATAGAAGGCATTCCATACAAATGAAATGAAGAAAAATACACAATAAAACTTTTTGTTAATAAATATGATTTTCCGTAAGCAAAATTGTATCTTAGTCAGTATATAGTGTCATAAATATTGACTGTTACTTCGTAGGTACTTCTTTTTATTACTTAAGAAAATCGTTGAATAGTTCCGTGCTGTTTTTCAATGAGATATTGACGACGAATATTTACTTAGTAATTGATTAAAACATATGGTAAATTAATTTAGCAGTATCATCTGCTTATATTTCTTATATCTTATCATATCAGGCTTTATACAGGACATATGGTGCATTTCTGCTGTTAAGAAAATTCTGGCTTTTTTGTTGTTCTGAAAATACCTCTTAACGGTTGAATTACTGAAAATGTTTTTTAGATTCGCGTTCCTGTTTAAATTGATATTTTTCAATAACCTCGTTTCTATCTCATGCCCTCCAGTTCCTGTAGGGCCTCCTGTTACTGAAGAACCATCTACTACACCAGGATCGGCAGCATCGCAAGCTGTTGATCTAGAAACTGATCATGTTGGTACAGATTTAGATGGGATGAAGGCATTATTTAATGCAACTTTATCGGAGTAAGAATGTTATTGACTCAACGCATGCACCTTTGCTTAGCATCGATGCTTCGCTTTATATCAGGTTTGCAATTAATGGTTCTACAATTCTGTACTAAAACTTTGTTATATGAAGGTAGGTGGTTTATTTTATGTTTATTCATATAATTAATGTTTTTATCAAATATTTTTTAAATAATTTAAGAGTGTAGTTTGACATTACCTCGCTGCAATCATAATGTGAAAATTGTTTAGGTCTTAGGTTCATATAAAAACCTGTTTTTTGCAAAATGCTTATTTCATAACTCTACAACCTGTCCACATGGTCCACGTGCATCTGGATACAAAGGTCAGAGCGATTTTAAATTTATACTCTAGATTCAATTATGCAATTGTGCTGAAAATAATAACCTCTTAATTGGTTGCCAGGATTAAATTGTGTTTCATATTGGCAAAAATTTCAAAAATAAATAAGAATAAAATGACAAAATAAAAACAAACAACAAACTCGCATACCTTCATTTTCCACAGTTATTTCGCAGAATTGAAGCTCAAAAATTCACACGCCTGATTTAAAGCGAATCATCAATGGTACTCAACATGTGTCTTGAATGTGTGTGATGAAAACAACAGGATAAATCCCAACACTTACTTTCGTATTTATGCATTAGATGTTGAAAAAATATTCAGATGAATACAAAATTAAAAATCATGAGAAAGGAAACAAATATATTTTGATAATATTTTGAATGATGAAAGAATAATTTAAGAACTTAAATATTATACATGGAACATTTTTACACGATTCAATGTTCATTTAACACTTTACTTTTAAGATAAAAAAAGATAAAAACAAATCACACCATTTTTCTAAATTCACAGGAAGGTAAGAAATAAGGCTTAAGTGAGTGATGTGCACTTATTCATTATCACTCATGTACAGACTCAATCAAACCGAGTCTGCACTTCTGATGTTATTTTGTTGTGATTAATGCTTCCGAGGGATCAGTTTTTTTCCAGAATTTTGTTCTTGTCAACAGCAGGTGTCAAGTGCCGTGTGGCAGCCGTAAAAAGTTGCCCCGTACTTCACTTCAGTGTTGTTATATATTCTAGTCCTTCGGGATCATTGATGCCAGCACTATAAAGTGTTGAGAATTGAGTACCACTCAAGCCGGTGCTGGGGGGCGTGAGTGATGTTGCACTTATTCATTATCACTCATGTACAGACTCAATCAAACCGAGTCTGCAATTCTTATGTTTTTTTGTTGTGATTAATGCTTCCGAGGGATCACTTTGTTTCCAGAATTTTAAAACGTTAGCGTTTTTTTTAATAAAAACGTTTTAATCAAAAATTATTTATTTCAATATTTTTTTTATTACTTTATTTCTTTTTCACAGCTATGACACAAGAATCCGGCCAAGAATTGACCAATCCCTTGTTGTTAATGTTAACACTACCTTCGTGCCACAGAGTGTTCTGCATTTTGATACATCAGAGCAGAAATTCTCTGTCCTCGGTTACTTCAGGATTGAATGGAAAGACGAAGTGATGACGTGGAATCCCGATGACTTTGCGGGGACGAATTATGTAAAAGTTCCTATTACTGAAATATGGACACCGAGCCTAATTATACTAAAGGTATAATAACAATTTTGACGTGTTTATGTGCTGGAATATGTGTAGAATGTTTGGTTCAATAGAGAAGTATCAGAGGTTTCTGATTATACTGACACATGTTAAGAGGAAACCTAATGGTAATTATGTAGAAATTGACAGGACTTGCAAAATCATAACATGTTTTTATTTCTTATTATTTCTTTACAATCCATCTCGATACTAGCAAATTCTTCAGACTATTACTGAATGTTTTCTTCTATAGGCCTTTGACGGTGACGGTGTTGTTGGCAGTGCTAAAACAGACATTGCTAAAATCTGGTCTGACGGTTCTGTTCAGTGGGTACCAGAAAGTATATACAGGTATCTAAATAAGTATATTTTATAAGATTTCTCGAACACATGTTATATAACGAGGACTTTTAGATTACTCGAATACATCTACTATTACGATGACTTGATTTATCATATTCAATTCAGTTACATAAATGAACATATATGATAAAAATCAAATGATGTTTATAAGGTTATGTCTCAAAGATTGTATGTGCATGTAACATATACAATCCTGAAATCGTGATTGGGTGTTATCAGTGTCAAAAGGGAATTGCTTTTATTAAATATGCAAATAAATGTGAACTTTATTTTAATGACATAAATAATGATGACGAAATTTGAAAAAAAAATTAAATTTGTTTCTAAATAGCGAGGGATGCATACTAACGATTATAACGATAAATAACCACCAATTAGTTTGATATATAAAAATATCTCTTTATAGCGTGGTTTGCAATGTGAACATCAAGTTATATCCGTTTGATCAACAAGTCTGCACAGTTACATACTACGTGTCTGATGAGACTATAACAACCGTTATGCTTGACCATCCTTATAGCGTCACTCTGGACGAATACACGGAGAATTCAGCATGGAAAATAATCATTCTAAGCCAGAGGAAGTACCTCTTATATAACACGTACCACATTGACATGGAATTCAAGCTTCAAAGACGAGCTAACTTTGCAACATGTACTTTGAATATGCCTCTCCTGATGTTAGCCTTTCTAAATATCTGCGTGTTCCTTGTTCCAGTTGGGTCTGGGGAGAAAGGTTCTTTCGCAATTACCATATTCCTTTCTTACGGTATTTTCGTTACAATCATAAGTAACACTCTACCGGACAACTCCCTTCAAATTTCTTACTTTATACTTTTCATCATCGTCCTGCTCTTTATGAGCGTTCTTTCCGTCGTGTACACCATCATACAAGCCAAACTTATGTCAAGTATGGGTGACAAAGAATGCAGCATCAAATGTTTTCAACCTAGAAAACCCGTGATAATGAGACCGACACCTTTTGATCCAACAAAAGGATATACGGATGACGAAAATGATCCAGCAGATTGTAAACCTGTCAGCAGAAATGACGAAGATGATGAGATATATACATGGGCAATGTTTCTGGAGAAACTCGACGTGATTCTCTTCATCATCTTCTTTGCTCTGGTACTCTTAGCAACGTCTGCTTTCTTTAGTCTGATGCTTCAAAGAGTAAGCGAGGATAAGTTTAGTAAAATATAGGTGTCATAGACTATCTACAGTCATCTACAGTCAACTATCGTTATCTCAACATCGCTTTTCTCGATATTTCATTATCTCGATGAAATTTTGAAAGTCCCGATTTTCTAACTTCTTTATCTATATTGGAAATATTTGTTTATCTTTTTTTTTTTTTTATTTCAATATTTTCAGTATCTCGATGTAAAATTTCAGCCCCAACAGTTATTTCCACACTATCATCCTTTGTTTATCTCGACTAATAATTTTCTTTGTCTGTTCCTTCAGACGTGTGAAAAACACAAACTAGACAATAATTGCTCAATAGCCCGTCTCATAATGATGATTATGATTGTAACAAGTTAAGCTGTGTTTATAAAAGTTGATTGACTTATGTCCAAAATGAGTTAATTTTACGTTCTTTATAAATATTCGAAAACATTATCAATTCATTATGACTTTAAATGTAAATGAAATAGTGGAAGTATAGAAATGCTATCGTTGCAATATTGTTTCACAACATCACCACCAAATCCATCAGCGGTCGAACAATCTCGAGAAATAACCCGGGAGAATATCCAGACCAACCACCTTGAAAACAATGTTTTCACTATATTGGTGTATAACTGAGTTAACCTCACTATGTGTTTTTATTAGAGACACCCGTATTTCCGCTGGTAAACATCCGCTAGTTAAATATCCTTTGTTAAATATTGACTAGGCCTATGAAAACAAGACATGGTGGGGATATCATAGTTTATTTGACAAAAGGTATGCACATTTATTTTGTAAAAATCAGATGCTGCCTTATTCAAACCCTAATATGTTTATCTCGATATTTAGTTATCTCGATATTTTTTGGACGGTCCCGATGACTTCGAGATAACGAGAGTCGACTGTATATAGAATGTATGATAAGATGTACATAACAAAGTGTACACACTTTGAGAACCAATGTTAAATTTTATCTGAATAGTTGTTTTACAGTGTGTGTTGTTGTTGTTTTTAGATTGACATGAATATATGAATCATAATGATTCACTTTACATGTACGGCATAAAACAATTGAAAAAGTAACAAAAAGACTATAACATTAAGCAGTTATGATCACGTGTATGTGACCTTTTACTGATTTTATTGTTTGTTTTTATTTATTAGTCTTCAAGGCTAAGGCCACTTCAAATCATTTTCACTGAGGATATTTCAGAGGATGACCTGTTAAAACTTACTGCATAATTATAAAAAAAAACATTCGGATATTTTTAATAATCGCTTGAACAACACATGTTTGTTATGGCTTTGCATGTCATTCGATATTTATATGTTTATTAGTTTCTCTTTTGTTAATATATTATTCAATTTAAATAGTTATAGTTTTTACATTATTTTTTTCCTGTTTATTTATCGGTTAATACACTTACAGTTTGTTTATTTATCGTCTTATACACTAACTTTGTTTATTAAATGATTTAAACTTATTGTTTTTGTTCTTTCAATTTTACTGTCCTATGTTTAGCATATAGTCTATCATATTTGAAGTACGTTAAATTGTGGTGTCCAAAATGCACAATCTATCAAATAGATTTAACATTTGACTTCTCTTGTTTTAATTTGTTGTGAATATTTGATATTTGTGTATAACTTCGAAATTCCTAAAACAAACAGTGTATTCATCCTACAGTTGGATTTTAATGTTTAATCGAATTCGAAAATGATTATTTTACAAAAGATTCAAATCAGAAATCAACATAGCACAACATGACATATTTTTAAATTTTACATTTGGAAAAGAAACACTCACAAAAAATAAAATTAAATAAAATTAAATAATAATAATAATAATAATAATAATAATAATAATAATAATAATAAATAATTTAATAATAATAAATTAAACATTAATGATAATAATATTAGTAATAATAATAATAAATAAAAAAAAGATAATAAGGATAATTAATCAGCAACATATCTAGGTCTGTCTGTACGTTGTTGTATATTGTATGTTCGTCTTGAAGAAAAAACAAAACATATGATTAATCAAAAGAGAGTGCAACTGAAAATCTGCGACATTCTGTGCCGGGTTTTGACAATACTAATTTACAATAATTCAAAGTTTAAAGCATTGAAAAATGAATATTATTAAAGTCGGTCATTTTCTGTATCTATATAAATACAAATGTGTTAATATTTCATTATGAAACTAATTCGCATAATAATATCCTCTTATTCACTTAAAGACATGTTATGCTACAGAAATGCATTTTTTATTATTTCTTTAAATCTTTATTTTTGATGTTTTATAATTGCCATTGACCAATTGCCTTAACTATATTTTGCTTTTAGGCATTACATACAGTTATAGCGATATAGTTTTTTGTGTGAAAATCAAAAAAATAAATTAAAGATTGTTTACACCTTGCTACTGAAACATTGCTATTAAGATATTGGTACGGATCATCTATGGAAAGCTGCATTACACACACTAGATAAAAACAAAAAACATGTACTTACTTTTAAATTCATTTACACGTGTTTCAACAAAAGTAAACGGTAGATTATAGTACAAGTTACAAATCTATATTTAGTTAAATTAATGTATACATTAATACTGTTACAGTAGCACTTCAAGTTTATGAAACTGACGGACTGAGACATGCTTTTAAATTTAATACATTTAATTTCAATAGACACTTTTAGTAATCGTGCATTTTAACATACAATTGCAATACATTTTAAGTATTTAAAATATTAACAAGATTTATATTCACACAAACAGCATAACAACCGTGTATTGTGGCAATCACTAGAATAAACAAATTACACAGCAGGTTAATTCTAACAATACAACTCTCTTGTCCATTCTATTAACTATAAAAAGCATAGGTAAATAATTAAGGTTTACATTATAGATATCTATGTTTGAGAAATATTTTAATAAATATTTATCGCGTTTGAGTGTTAATAGTCTGTGTTACATTTTACAATAATTGTTTAAAAACATAGAAAGATCTTACTGTGTATGTGATGTGTTTAATACTTAATTATAACTAAAAACAAATCATAAGAAACCATAGAAAACAAACAAACACGAACAGAAAATATTATATTTCAGTTAAGCAAATGAAAATACTTTTTTTTCTAAAACACAACAAAGCTTGTTTTTAAGATACAACAAAAGGTAGTCTTGTTTTTAAGGAGCTCTGGTTCTTACATGAATTGTGTATGTGACTAGAAACATATTTTTGAAAGTGAGGTACGGGTAACTTTTACAGCTGCTACACAACACTTGACACCTGCTGTTGTGTAAGTTTGTACGTTTTCATCGTATCAATATAACTTTTAAATTGTGTTGAGCGGTCATTTACGGGAAAATGTACTTCCGTGTTTTATTTGTCATACATCTGTTATAATTACATTTTAACATTTTTATCTTTATTCATCTATCTAGATATTTCACTTTAATGTATTCTTGCTCGTATATGCCCAAAGGCATCGTCTTAAAAGCAAAATACATTTCATATGAAACTTAATTTCAAAAATACCCGCAAATGTGTTCATCATATAAGTATGACACATAATTGCCATTCGATGAAAGTAAAAGAATTTTTCGTGTGCGTGCCAAAATGAGAAAACAACGGGCGCAACAAAATAAATGAGAATTTAGAAGCCTGTGTATCACATATAAGATGGCAACAGACAAATGATTAATACAGGCGGCATATCCTTAAGGTGAATTAAAATACTGAATTCAAGTGAGAAATACTGGAAAACCCCAACCATAAAAGTAAAAATAGAACAACAACAACGAAAAAAGAGTTATTTTTCAGCCATAGCGGAAAACGCAAAGAGATATATCAAGAAACGAAAAACAAATTTTAAATCAAAACAGAGAAAAAATATTAAAGTGCAAAAACATTCGAATTGGTCACCACTGTTGGGTGTATGTGTAGAAATAAAAAAAAAATACACACGGAATATCAGTCATCACACATTATCAATACCATAATTATAAATAACTTATATAATTATAAAAACATATCAATAGTTGCGACCATTGGCTCAAAACGTAATCCAATGCGCCGTATTTAACCGGAGGGGACTTTAGGCTTACCCTCTGTCCGTCTGTCTGTCCGTCCGTTTGTCTGTCAGTCTGGAAAACTGGATCCCGCGATAACGCAAAAAGTACTGACAATATTTTTATGAAACTTGATATATAAATAGATGGCAGTGTGGAGATTATGCACGTGTTTTTGTTTTCTTTCTGTGTTGAAAATTCGGGTTGCTATGGCAACAAATAGTCTGAAAATATGGCAAATTTAACACATAAATTGGATCCAGTGATAACTCAAAAAGTACTGAAAATATTTTTATGAAACTTGAAATATGGGTAGATGGCAGTCTGGAGATTATGCACATCTTTTTCTTTTTTTTCTTGTCTGGTTGCTATGGCAACAAATAGCCTGAATTTCAAGAATTCTAATTAAATGTCAAAACTTTATTGAGGCATATATTCTTTTGAGTGACATTTCTACTTTTCCATTTTTTTCACATAATTATTGCCACCAAGTACTCATATGCATATTTGCGGGGTTTTGTGTAACGAGTTTTAGAAAAAGATTCTATTTTGCTTGGTTTTACATTAAACATTTCTTAGTCTAGCAGCGAACCTTTCTAATCATAAAGTGCCCTGGTGAATATTGCCGGGGATTTGAAGTTAAATGATTGCTTACAACATTCAGGCTCTTCGGTCATTTTCAACACTGTTCTGTGTGCAGCTCATAACATTCCTAGGGAATTGCCACCAAACTGTGAAAGAGCTATTATTATCAAGCGTTTTTCGAATATTTGTGGGGGCTTTATGATTTAACAAAGTTTTGAGGAAATTATGGTCCTGACGCTTTATGTTTCTTTCATATAAAAGTGAATAGGAGAGGATTCATTTCTTTTCTCAAGGTCACTGATATTTCTGAAAGGATGCCAAGCTTTATAATTATTGACATTAACCTTTTTCGTGGATTAGAAACCAATTTTAGCTTATAATTTTACATATACAGTCGTAAATAAAGTGTGTTGCACAATGTTGAGTAAAATACTGAATTATATTGGTCGAATACACAGCTGTCACATAACTATAAGTATTGCAATTTTGTACAAGTCCAATAGAAACAGTATTGTATTCAACAATCAATAATGACTTTTTTGTTTCTTTGTTCTCCTAGAACAAATTTGATAATGATTTTCTAAAGATTTAAACGACGCTATTGATAGTGATTTGAACTCAATGTTTTGGACTCGCAAAATAAAAACAAGGAATAAAATAGTAATACCATAGGGACTCTTTTGATTAAACATACGTGTTATATTATAAAGAAATTGAATATGTTGCTTTCAAAACTTAAACACGTTTTTTTTAACTAAGCCACCTAAGTCAAACCTACAAACCTACAATAAGTGAGATGAAGAAATAATATATACTTTCTTAATATAACGTCTGGAGATTTTTTTGTTGAAAACATGCATTTATTTTAGTTCGAGTGCGTTTGCAGAAAAATGTAGCTTGGTATTTATTTGACAATAAATAACATTTTACACATAATATGCAATCTGTAAAAAAATCAATTAATCTGTTGGACAGATTTAGATGCAATTGCATAAATTTTGTTTTCTTTTATGTCAATAAAATTAGGTTACTTTTCAAGTTATAATAAACAAATCTTCGCAAAGTTAATTTGTCGGGTAAGTTATACGTAAAGAAATATAATAAGATTATTCTATTGCCAGAACGCTTGTTTTACAACAAGCCTAAAAGTTTACTTTTGGGTTAGATATAAGGTAGAGTATAAAAAGGCATGACAAAACAAATGAAATGAAGACATATGCAGAATTAAAACTGTTTTGAAAGCTCGTTTCCTTCTTGTTTGATACGTGCGTACATTAATACGAATACATAATTGCATCTTAGTTAATATATAATCTCATAAATATTGAAAGACAGTCCTAGATACTCTTTACGGAAGTTTGAGTCCCGTGCTGTTTTTACGAGGAAACATCGCTGACCAATATTTACTTAATGATTGATTAAAATATCTAGTAAGTCGTTCAAATATTGTTATAGTCTCCTGCCTATATCTCATATATTATCAGTCCAGGCTTCATAAAGGACATACGGTATATCTCTACGGTCCAGTAATAGTCTGGCAATTTGGTCTGATAAAAAAATCTGAATAGTAGAATTGGTGAAAATGTTTTACATAATCGCGTTCGTGTATAAAGTGATTTTTTTTAATAACCTCGTGACGATCAGCAGCCCCCAAGTCTTTGTTACTGTGGGACCACCTATTACGTTCAAGACATTTTTTGTTACTATGGGGCCACCTGTTAAAAAAACTACGTTCGGCACAGCAGCATCGCAAGCCATTGATAAAGAAAGTGATCATGTTGGATCAGATCTAGATGGGATAAAATTACTATTTAACGCAACTCTGTCAGAGTAAGAATGATTCTGCATTAACACACCTACTCAACGCATACACATTTGCCAGCATTGATTCTTAACATCAAATCAGGTTTGAAATTAACCGTTTTACGATCTGCGCTTAAACTTTGTTAAATCAAGGTAGGTGGTTGTGTTTATTGTTAATTCATATGATTTTATCCAACAGATTAAGTTATATAAGCTGTAGTTTGGCCTGGCTGGCTGTTATTATATCAGGGAGTATTCTGTATTTAGTTGCTACAATCTTTCTTGAAAGATGTAAATTTCAAAACCCCATAGCTATTCAACGTGTCTCTTTATACAAAACGTTTTCTTCAATTTATTAAAATTATGACACCTCTATAATCAAATTTATCAAAATCAATACTTTTATTTTCTACTGAAAGCTAAACGAAATTATCAGTGTCAAAGAGGTAACACAGCAACAGTTTGTTCTTTTATCTGATTGCTGCAAGTATGCGAATGCTGCTTCATGAATGTGCCTTCAAAAAAGTTTACGCTTTCATGATTTTAATGAGTTTTGTCATTTTCCGATTATTACAATTTTTATCAAACAAGAAAACGGTCATAAAGAATTGAAATTTATTCTCTAGAATCTACTAGACTGTGAAAATAATATGTTGAAATTCGGTGCTTAGGCTTCTGACCGTTCCAAGAGGGTGCCTCTCTGTGTTCCTCAGATGTATGTCTTGTTGTTTAATTCTGTTTTGGTGACACTTTTGTTTGTGTCACTTGTTGTTTTCTTGTCTACAGTAAGTATCTTCCTTTTTTCCTAGTTTCATTTTTTTATTCCCCCTCCCTTCCCCTTAATCTTTAATCCCCTTCTCCAGGGCCATTTTACTTTGTGGGCCTATTAATAAATCAATTAGTTGTTTTCTTTGATTTCCTTGTCGGTTACTATTATTTCTTTTTAAGTATTTAAAAGTACCATTTATTTGATTATCCTGTCCGTGCTCGGCCTTGCGCCCTGTCCTATTTTTGTTTGTGGTCCTCCAGGACTCCTTGCCACACGTTCTTGTTCTGGGTAGTTCGGGGTTGCGTTTATTGAAAGCCGCCCCCCCACCCTGTTGATTTTGTTTATCATATTTCATAAGTGAAACCAAATATATAAATTTAAAAAGAAATAAAAATGACCAGAAAATAAACACAACAACCTTGATTTTCTACAGTTTTTCTGCGAAAAAGGAGCTCCGGAAATTACACACCAGATTTGAAGCGAATCATAAATGGTACTCAACATGCGCGTTAACTTTGCGTAATTTTGGTATATTTACAAATCAACATGAAAAATGACAACCCCTTATTTGCATAGCAATGATGTATTAAATGTTTAAAAAAAATTATGTCTACGCGTATTTTCAATGAGTTTTATCTTTAAATTGTTGTTGATTTAGCAATTAACTAATCTTTACAATAAAATAAATAACGAGGTCATCGAATTATTTTTTTTTTCAAAGGAGAAAAACCTATTTAGAAAAGAGAGAGAGAGAGAGAGAGAGAGAGAGAGAGAGAGAGAGAGAGAGAGAGAGAGAGAGAGAGAGAGATGTCTGATCCGTAAAAGTTGGCACATTTAATCATTTTTTTACCCACAATCTGGGGACAACAACTGCAATGTGGGGACAAATTTTATGTCCCAACATCAACGGTGCTTATTTCAAAGCTAAGGTTCAGCCCGCAGTTTTTGTAACAAAAAATTAGTGTTGGGACAGTTGTCCCCATGAAATCATCTCTCACTCTCATTTCCTAATTTTGTCGAGGAGTACATTTACGAGATCATTCGGAGCACCTCGCCATTAACCTAAAATTTATGTATAAGGGAAAGGACCGAAGTGCTACGATTGGTACCGGAAGTGTCCCGTTTAATCATTCGGATATCCAAAATATTACGCGCGAGGCATTTAAAGATGGCGACAACTAAACGTAAAGTTTTCTTTACTTATGCCACTTGTTTCTTTCAGCTTTTGATATGATTTCATTTATTGTACGCTTTTTAACAAAGAATAATGTTTAAACTGGCGTCCCTTTGGCTATTTCTTAGATAAAAGGCAATGGCGGTCCACTGTCATGACGTCCCACTTTTAATGTTTATACTCCAGTAGACGTGAAAAAAGTTGTTTATTTTTAATTGTGACATCAGGGACCATACAAGACCGGGACGAGCAACTATAGATTAGCGTCACACTCAATGAGTTCAGTCAGACGCAGACATAATGGCATTTAAATGAATTTCCTGATGCTTTAAGCTGATTATAGGGATAAACATTATTAACAGCATCGTAAATAAACATCAGGGAAATTGTTCTATCGGGACAGTATTTCTGAATTATGTATAACAGAATCCTTTGCAAAAGTAAGTGTCAAGCCCTAGGTACTTAATAAAAACTACCTTTCCTGTGTCAAAGGTTGGTCACTGACTTTGATTTTATTCAATGTTTTGTTTATGTATCCTTTTAAATTTTCAGTGCTTTGAAAGGGGTGGGAAAAAGTGTGATATTTATGATCTTTTCCTGATATTTTCCATAGGACGTAAAAGACTTGATCCGCTTCAGACAGCAAAACTATGGATAGAAAAAGAGGAGGATCCGCCTGGCTTTAGAATTTCACACTTTGGCATAAAAGGTATAACTTCTGCAGTTTAATCTACAAAGATAGAAGATAATTCACATGTACTTTAATTTTTTTTTTTATTAATGTCTTTTTAACAGTATTTCAATTATATTTAGATGTGTAGTTTCCCAATCATCATTCCTAAAATTGAAAGGTAACATCCGCACTAATCTCTTCTCCTTGCTTAACTACCAAGTGCTTCTCCCTGGGATCAAACCAGAGAGATCCACTGTCTAGTATATGACTTGGTGCAGACTTTATGTGATATGATGCTTCCATCCCGGATGGCCTAGTGAGAAACTGCAATAATAAATCTGGATATACTTCCTTGTTATTTCTCTTTACGCCATCTTGGATGGAAGCACCGTATCACAGAATTATGTGCCGTTTCACATACCAGACAGTGAAATCACTGGAACTCGAACCACTAGATCAAGGAGCATTAAAGCAGCATGCCCCATATTTATTTAAATTAATTTTCATTGTAATTTAAAAATTATTTTTTTTATTAATAACATTTTCAAAAATAAAAAAAAATGTGTCACATTGTGCTTATTTTGGCCTTCTTGTCAGTCACATTGTAGAATTTTTGTGATATATAAGAATAACTTTTAATTTAGAAACTTCAAGTTACATTTTTCTTTGTTTTGAAATTACAACATTTTTTTTTTCAGGAGTGCTACTTTAAAAGAGCTTTTCTATTAAGATTTTTTAAAACCATTTATATGTATAATAGTACCAAGGTAATATATATTTTCGATTTCAAGGTCTTCAAAAGTTTTGCTAACTGCTTTCATTCAGTTTCTCATTGCACCTTCAATAATTGACCAATATAAGTCCTTTTTGTAAGGTAGATACATGTTCCTTATTTGGCTCTCCTTCATCTAGGGTCATTGTCAGTGTAATTATTGCAGAATGGAGCATTGTATATACAGATTCCCCTACTTAATGATGCTTTTTAATTTAATTAGTTAAGATCTCTCATGCTTAAAATATGTACATAGCATGCATTTTTGCATATTTCATAATATGCATGTTTTAAAAAATTTGTATTTTCAAGGTAGGGGTATAGTGACAAAAGTGGAAAGATGGCAGGGTGACTTCCTTCTGGTATATAAAGGTGAGACTATAAGTGCTGAAGAAGGAGAGAGAAGGGAAGAAAAAGATGGTGGTTCAGACTTCCGATTTTTCTTCAAAGATCTGTGGTGAGTAAATTCTCATTTTTCAGAATTTAATTTAATGGGTTTGCTGCCTATTGTTTTAAGTTATTTTGAATGAAAATACCTCCTTGAGAAATTGAATTTTATGGAAGTAGTTATAACCATCAATTTATCTCTTGGATTTAACATGAGCAAATACTGCGATGTGGGGACTAAGAATCAAGTGGGGACACAGGAAGTGGAAGCCATTTTAATTGTTTTGGTCTATTGAAATGGAGGACAGGGTGTTTGGCCTAATTGTTGCTATTCTAATAATTTTCGTTCTTTGCTTGATAGCATTGTTGACCTTACTATTTTTAGTATTGAGAGTGCTTAGAGTGTCACAACACTGGTTTTACTTAAACTCTTAAATGGGAAACCAATGTGATTAATTCAGCTGCAGAGTGTTGCATGCTTTCTGGATAACATTATAAATGAACTGGTTAGTACAGAAAATCTCAAATGCAACTGACAAATAATATGTTTTGTTTTGTTTTCTATACAAAATATTAATCTTTTCAAAGAATATTTCAGTTTAAATTACTGACCAATTACTGCAGAACATACTGCAATGATAAAATAGAATTACTTTTGTTGGGGGTGGGGAGGGGGCATTCAGACTGGCCATGTACACCAAGTTACATTTGTTTATGTGTGGATGAATGGATAAATGCATTCATGCAATCGTATATGGATGGCTGGATGGCTTAGAAAGTGATGCATCTGGTAAACGAAAAAACCAGTATGGCTTGGGACAGTGTCCAAGTTGGGTCAGGAAATCAAACTGTTCGATTAAGATTTTTTCGAGTGGAATTGAACATATTCTGAAAAAAAAAAATCAAACTTCATTTCTTTCTTGGCGTCAAACTCAAAATGGCTGTAGGCCTGATGAAAAATGAATTAACGCCTTCATTTTTTCAACGTTGAGATAAAATCACTGCAGTAAAGGCTAGGTAGTCTTTTTGAGGAAACCTTCATCCAAAGAATAATCGAACAGTTAGAGCTATATAATTTTTTTTTAGTAGAAATCAGTAATTTATCCTTTCCCACTTTTTGTTGTTAAATTGCTTTTAAAACCTTTGTTTATATATTATTGTTTCATTTCTGCTGACATACTACATTAATTTTATCAGAGACATAGATAACAGAGATAGGCCTTTGCAGCCTTGCTAAATTCTGAAATAGCTGACATACTTGCATGTTTACCATTCTGTAGCAAATCAATCGCAACTTTTCGGCCCTTTCCGTCAGTCTTCGGATAAGGACCTCGAACACAATAGTATGAATACACAGAACGGATGCGGTATTTCGGTCTAACCTACGCTAAGAAACTAAACATGTAAACAAATGGTAATTTAATGCTTTGAGTTGTTGGAAAGTTTATTTCCAATATATCAAGTAAAAATCCACCTAAAATAAGTGAATTCATACATACAAAAGCAAACAATACAATATTTGTATATTTACTGTTATGGTTGTAAAAACCGAAAGTACAAAAAACCAACGTGTTGACATTTAGTCGTATTTGTTTAAAATCATACATCAATGGGCATATTTAAATTACAAATTGTTGTCAGACATATTTTCAATCATAAGTGTACCCAAACAGACATTACTTTTCTTTTGGATGTCAAATATGTACACTCGTTCTACATATTCTCTGTTTCTATTTATATCTGAAACCACGTGGTAGAACTCCTTTCAATCCGTATTGTTTCCGAGGTTGTTATAGATAATAGCCGAGGACGTTCCGAATGGTAGCAAATAAAACTCACTACATATTACCTAATAGAGCAACCCGGCCTATTATCGACACCTTAAGGCATTTTATACTTAATAAACGATAGCTTTTAACTGCAGCTGATCCTTAAAGTTTATGTGTTACCTCCCTTTGACCTAACGGAGCAAATAAGTAGAATGTTACGGCGTTTTTGCATATTGATTTTACATACCGATTTATATGAAGAGGGTGATATGTGCATTATCGACATACTTCCGGGTATTTTCGACACCCAGAATGTAAAAGAAATTTAATTCATATTTTATTCTGGCCTGTAAGTAATAGATCTAGATATAATGTCAAGAAACTGTCTGAAGTGCAACAAACACATAACATAATGAAGACGCTGACATAGGAGGCATGAAATCCCCGTTTGCATTCATACATGCCATCACAGCTATCTGACATTTATTGTTAGACACAATTTGATACACATGTTTACTGCCTTAAGGTGCAAGCACTCTAGATACCAGAAGTCACAAATGGCGAGAAATCGCTTTCATCAGTGTTAAGGTTCTTCTTGGATCCCTCACCTTTAATTTCCTCAGCTAAATACTAACGAATCTTGGAAAACCAGCTTCTGATCATCTCATACGAGAAAATAGCTCGCTCTCTCTACCAAGCGCCTGGGGCTTTCTCTCCTTGATTCCAGGGTGTCTCTTAACAAAGCCATCGTACCTTAAAATGTAACTTATTGAATAGGTTGTTATATTTATAGTTTACTGGTAAGGCAGTAATTATCATTATTGTTGTTTATTTTTGTTGCTAGTAAGTTAGTTATCATTATTATGATTGTTGTTAAAATATATTATTATTATTATTATTATTGTTGTTGTTGTTATTGTTATCATTTTTATTGTTGTTGTTGTTATATAGTAAGTTAGTTATCTTTATTATTATTATTGTGGTTAAACTTTATGATTATTATTAGCTCTATTATTATTATTATTATTATTATTATTATTATTATTATTATTATAGCAAATTATTAGCTTATAATTAAGAGGAATAACAATTTTATATATCACCCTTCGTCTGGAAGATTGTTTTTAAAGGGGGTTTGTTTCTCATAGATGTCCTTCGTATCGAAGCTGCTTTCTAATCAGGGAGTACCCTATTTTGTTCATTAATTAGTAGATTGTATAATCCTCCAAGCTAGTCTCTTCATCAGCAGTGAGAAGAGTTTTACGTCCTGGTTTAACATGCTCTAACGGCACACGGCCAGCCAGTTTGTCCAGCAGAGCCGCCGCTTTTTTTGCCATACCATCTCGTACAAGTACAAGTCGGATAGCTAGCTGCATCCCCTCCGGACAATATTGTTGCGGTTTTACCATACTTGTAAACATAAAACACAAGCCATGGTCCAAGAAAAAATTCAACCTCTAAAAATATAGCGGGTGTTGACAGGAACCGTACATGAACGTATATTATGTTCCAGGTGTCGATAATAAACTGATATCATGAAATCATGGGTGAAATTTCGACACCCACGTGACTCATACGTGACTGCTGAATCTGACCTTATGCCATAATGTAAAATTTTTATACATGCTAGTTTATATATTGGATGATGTTTGGCACATACACTTTTATAAAAGACTTGACTTATAAGCTGACAAACAAGGGTACTGTCCTTAACAAGCTTAATAAGAGATGAAAATCGCTTATCTTTTTCGTATACAGTGCACTCAATGATCCGCTGTTTAGGACAAAAACACCAGAATTTCGCAGAGACTTCCAGGAATCAAAGACATGACGTCATTCTCGCAGTCTTTTGTTACATTTAGGAATGTCAGTGTACGAATAAGTGACAAAAGTGCAGGTGTGACTTTTAAGTGTCGAAAAAAGCTGTATGTCGATAATGGACGGGGTTGCTCTATATATCTCATACTGTTATATTATATTATATTTTTGACTTTAAATATGATATTTATCATATATGAATGTACATATTATGGAATTTTTTTGGCCAAAATTTGGATGTTTATATGATACTGAAACTGATATTGTTCAAAATTTCAGCAAGACATTTTATTTTATTTAAATTTGTTAAGTGACTGATAGTTTTCATTAATGTTTTAAAGTGCTTTGATCTTAGACAAATGGTTAAATTATATGATAAATATATTACAATAGATTAATCATAAGATCAAAGATTGTACTGAACCAACAGTTAAAGAAGTGTGAAAGCTTTAATGTTTTTAATTTGCATAGCTATAAAAGAACAGAGTAGATAAGTGTTATCACACTTTATTTACCTATTTTATTATTTTTAATTGTCACTAATTGGTCAGAAATTGATTAATTTTTTTTATTTTATAATCTTTTAATATCACAATGATTAAAGAAAATCAAAGGTCAATGTTTGCTAATATAAACAGCAGAGTAGTTAGTAATTTACACCTTTAAGAAATGAGTAACTGTTTATTCCTATCAGGGTCATTCAAATAGTATGGTCCGGAAACGGGCCGATTTCACGAAATATGTTGTCTCGGCAGGGTCACGTGATTTGGTAATTTTCCGATCGTAATCTGGCATCGACTATCGCCGTATAAAAAATCAAATTACGACAAAATTTGTTGTTAAATCTAACAAAGAATTATTGTAACCTAATCCTTATTACATTAACTTATCGTTTTTTACTTAAAAAAGAAATAACTTTATTAATTTTCAACAAGGAGTGTATGTTGGGCAACAGATCCTGGCTTTTAAAACATTATTTTCTGAACCATTTATCAGTTTTCCACAATTTTAAACATTTTTACAGCGCTTCATGTCGTTAGAATTTTCATTTTTGCCCTTTTATGTTTATTTAAGAAGATTTAATTGTGACCCCTTTTTCTTGAGCATCGACATTACGAATACAAAATATCACGTCTAAATATTACGGCTAATAATGTCTGAATTCCATGGAATTGCCGTAAACAATGTCCATTGTTGTTCCCTTTTATTTCTTACTTGTTTATTTTTAAATATGATTACCTTCGACTGGTAATTATAAAGCATAGCCGTTTATTTCATTGAGCTGATAATTGCTAAACAAAAGGATGTCTTTTCCTACCCCAATACTTCTTCTTGAAATATATATTTTTGCAACAAAAGTATAATATTTTATTTTTAAAACTACATTTTAAGATGAGAATTGATATAAAAGCAAATAAGTCACATAATCTACCACCTTTAATATTAATATAAAGTACATGTACATTGCGTACTGCCGTATTATCTACACAGATATGATAATCACTCTCAGGTAAAAAATCGATACCGAGACATCATATATCTGACTGATAAGGATTTATATAAGGCGTTTCCGGACCATACTATTTGAATGACCCTGTTCCTATATAAACTCCATATTTTTTTTTCAATTTTTATACTTAATGTATACCCTCACAATGTCTGATTGAATGGAACATATTCCTTCACGGCTCTGAGGTCATTAAAACATAATTTTAATGACACTTAATTTAACTTAAGGTGGATCTCATTGTCATAACACTTATTAAGGTGGATTCAATGATAAAATTTGACTACTTCATTTTTTATAAATTGTATAATAAAGATCTTCTAAATACATCAATGTAATAATAATTCCTTTTTTCAGGTATCTAACTTAATAACGATAAATCTTTTCTTTCTTTTGATTATTTTTAATTTAATAACAATAAATCTTCTTTTTTTTTTAAATTATTTAAAAGAAAAAAACATTCTTGCAGTATTCAGCTTTCAGTTTAGTATTGTACTATAATGGCATTAATGTATGGATCATTTGATACTTTAATTGTTGTTAAAGCTTGATTGCACAGTAACTGGACATCTTTGATCATTCAAATCCAATCAGTGACCATTCAAGTTATAACAACATCATTGGACATATCACACCTACTTATAATCCCATTATAGTACCAAACTAAATTTGGTAGCCGAAAAGACCAGGGCCGAAACGTCCAGGAGGTGAAAAGACCAAGGCCGAAACGTCTAGGAGAAACCAACTACAAGTCATACAATTATGAATTTTATATTTTCTGAATGCTTAGACAATTAACTTTAGCTGCAAATAAAAACGTTTTCATGTTTTCTTGTATATATCAATATTTTGTTGTCATAAGCAATCATAAGCTGTCAGTTTTTCTTTGAGACAGAAAAGTAATTTTTGTAATTGGATTATTCAAAACTACAAACTGAAGTTAATATAATTATAAGTAATTACTGACCAGTGCAGACGACACTAAGAATTTTTTCTATTAAAAATGTTTTTCAGTAATCAGCTCAAATATACATGTATGTCCTAGTATTTGTATTTTCATTTATATTTCAGCATTGATGCAACTGTAGAAAGTGGGTATTTATGTAGATTGGTAAATCATGGAGGCAAGCATGAAAGAAATGCAGTTATGAAAGAAATTAATGGAAATCTTTGTTTGTTTACATCAAGGTAAGAAATAAAGGCTGGATTTTGTTTGAAAAGTTACATAACTTGTTCACTGTGTCACGTTGTTGTCTCAGTTGTTCAACTCTATAACTGATTCTCCAGCCCTCTCTTCAGATGCAAATCTGCAAATTTGGAACATTCTTATTTCATTTCAACTACTTACACTTTGGTTATCTAATCTTCATGTTAGAAATGGACTTTCATTTATAATTCTAGAAGATAATTTTTAGCCAAAGTTACCAATGTTTGAAAATACTGGAAATTATATAACTTTGTGAAAAAAAGTAAATAATATATATGCCAAATGAGTATTATTGCAACAAGTACTGATAAGAAACATTTGCTCTGCACTTGCAAGGTAGTCTGCAAAAGCTATATATCTAGTTGGTTGGCATTTTGAATCTCTTAAATTATGATAACAGCATTCTAATTTGCCTGAATTCTCTGCAGAAACAAAGTAAGGTATAGTTTTACATTGCAGTATAACACATCTCAATAATTAGAGAACCATTACACCTATAGTCTTCAAACTCTATAAGATGATCACTCTCATTGATAATAAGACCCCTATTTGGGCCATGATGCATGAAGGTAAAGGTCACAGTGACCTTGAATATAAAACCCTTTCTGCTCAATAGTTAGAGATCCATTTGACCTGTAACTTTCAAACTTCATAGGATGATCACCCTCTATGATCCTTACTTTTTTAGGGCAATGATGCCTGAAGGTCAAGGTCACAGTGACCTTGAATGTGAACACATTTCCCCTTAATTGGATACATACTTCTAAGAAGCTTCAATTAAGATATTTGTATCTTGCGGCGGGAAATATCAATTCAACGAATTTGCTTGTTAAATTTTGTATTAAAGCAGTGGGTGGAGGTATTAATCACTTTTAGTGATAGTTCTATTTTTAACTTGACCAAATCTCTTAATTGTTAAAGTTTATTGTACTGTTTATATAATACAGGTACACACAAAACGATGTTTCAGCATCTGGTTAGTTGTAAGTTCATTCAATCAAAGCAGTGTTTGAATAAAAGTTTGTTGAAATTTTAATTACAGATTTATCAAGCCAGGGGAGGAAATTCTGTACGATTATGGAGTTAAAAACTTACCTTGGGAAAAGAAAACTTGTAAGGTAAGACTATTACTTTTCTAATGTCATTTCACATTAAGTGTCAATTGTTCATAATAAATTCTACATCTGTAGATTCTACAGATAATTATGTCTCCCAAGCCGTCTGTCTGTTCATCCACATTTAGCTTGTCCAGATTTCGCAGGACAAACTACTGGTCGGATTTCGACCAAACTTCACAGGATTAATTGGTACCAAACCCTAGTTGTGCAAATCTCCGGCATGTTCTGCTTCACGTCACAAAATGGCTGCCAGATCTAAAATTAGAAAAACCTTGTCTGACCATATCAGGTCAAGCTGTTGGTGGGATTTCGACAAAACTTCACAGGAGTGATCAGTACCAACCCTAGTTGTGCATATCAGTGGCATCTTCCACTTTGCTGCACAAAATGGCCGCTAAAGCTGAAAAATTAAAAATTCTTGTTTGGCTTTCACGAGTCAAACTGCTGGCGGTATTTTTGGGAGACATGTTTTTGTGACAAAAACCCCTTGTAGTTAAACTTTGGTTTTGAAATACATTATAATGGTTAGGTCTCTACAATGTGCAATTTATGATTGTTGAAGATACCTAGGTATACATATATTTCTATTCCTTTTAATTTGTTTTATCTACCTCCCCTGACAAAATTGATATCAATTGACAGTAGTATGTTATTTTTTATTTATTGAATCAAAAATATTCATCATCTTGTGAAACAGCTCCTTTTAAGAGCACAAATTAAATTACAGTAGAACTCAAACTCTAGGGTCCCATGCAAAATAAGTTTTCCATGGTTCGAGCCATCCAAATGGCGGCCATTTTGGATTTTTTAGTTAATGTGTATGACCTACAAGAGATCCAACATCAATATTGACTTCTTTTTACGTGTGTTATACCTTTATGAATAATATGAATAAAACAGACATTTTATTTTTCATTGGTAATATATTTTCATGCACATTTAAGACATGAATTAAATGTATGTGTACATAAGTAAAATAACTTACACAAAGATAATTTATCATATATCTACATTATGTTAAATCGATATTAAAATTAAATATGCATAAAGAGTCATATAACACATGATAGCTTTTTGGTATAATTTTCACTTAACTCCTTGATTTCCAGTAGCCAACTTGGCTCTCCGCCGTTACCGAGTCCTTTACTGCCAAAGCAGTTATGGAAGTTAAGTTTAAATCTCCCGATTTCATGCAAAAAATTAAAGACAGAAATTGCGTGTGTGTATTTCAATTTATTTATCCTTGCCACTGGTTGCCCATATGGGTGTGTCTTCCAGAATACTGTAGGTAATAATTATGTAAGGGAGGATAGTGCAAGATACAGAAGATGCCCCAATCCAGAGGAATCCCTGGTTCTTTTATATACAAGGTGTAAAGCACTATTACACGAGACCTCGGTTTTAAGTCTTCTGAAAGGCTGCTTGTAACTTAAGTTGGCCAGCCCGGGAATCGAACCCACATCTCGAGATTACAATTCTCACGCTTACAATTATTGCATTGTACCGATTTAGCTAAGGGGGCTAACGATAGAAATGGCAGTTTGCTTTACCAAATTTATATGTATAATTAAAGCATAAAAAGTGAATGAAAGTCACTTTACTGGATTTGTTTGTATATACACTAAAATGTTATAATTGTGATAATAACACATGCACTGTATGAAAGGGAAGCTAGGACAATGATATGTTGGAGGTGTGAAAAAAAGAATTATGTAGTCGACTGAATAGGTGTAATAATCACTATAATTGATCTGTGGGGACCTAAGTTCTGTTTGAGAGTTCAAGTTATCAAAGTTCGAGCCATTCGAGGTAGAATAAAATAGTATAAAGAAGACAAAAGTTTGGGTCCGGACATACATGTAGAGTTCGAGAGATCCCGTGTGTTCGAGCGATTTGAGTTTGAGTCACCTAAGATTAACTATGGTTAAAAATTTAAAGATTATCAATAGTCTCAACAGCCTAATAATTATTATAATCAGGGTGCTGATCTCAAATTATTGTGTTAGTAAGATTATTGTTGCATAATGCATTTTCAAATCAGACAAATAAAAAGCTTTGTCATATTACATGTATAAAATATTTATAACATAATTTTCAGACACAGGTTGGTATTGAGAGAAAAGGTGACCCAGGGTTGTTTATTAACTTTGAAGAAAAGGAAATTAAGGATAGGAGGATTAGCACTGAGGATAAACAGTCAGAAAACTATGGTATGGGCATTCTCTGAAGATAAGATTCATTATAAAGTTTAGGGCATATCTTCAGTAACGACAGTCTGGTTGAATTTATGTAGGCAGTTCTTTTTTACATCCATTTTTAAAGTTAAGGAAAATAAGTTTTGAGAGCTGTAGAGTTTGAAATTTACAGTGAAATTTTGACCAACCTCCCAAACCGAAAATCATTGGCCATGTTACAACAAACAAATTTGTTTTCTGCTTGTCATCTGTAAAATGTTGCCTCGTACTACATCTCAGTGTTGTTGTATTTTTCTGGTGCTTCAGCATCATTGATTCCAATACTGTTTTTTTTATTGAAGATTGGATAACGCCTAAGCTTGTGCTAGGGGCCATTAGACATTTGGCAGTTTCCATTATCTCTCATGAACAGTCTCAGAGACTGCAATTGGTTTTCATAGTCCAAGAAGCATCTCCCCTCTTCAAAACTTTTCCTTTAACAGGCATTAAAACCCAAAGTGACTAGTTTTATTTTGCCTGATCCTGTTATTGAAATAATTATTTTTTCAATTTTTAAATGGCATCATCATCATCATCTTGTATTTTAATATGTATCAGGTTTAGAGGCTTTGGAGGCTGCATACAAGACCCAGCATACACCTTGCGATCTTAATATTTCAAGTAGGGACAAGAATACAACTACAAATGAAGACAAGGATGGTCATACAGAAAAAGGGCAAAATGACAAAATGGGTCCAGACCTTAAAATTCAAGGACTAGATGTAAATATGGCTACAGCAAGTTGTACTGCAATGGATGTTGAAATAAGTAATGTTTATGAAGATCAACAACTGAATGTACAAGGACTAGAGATAAATCCAGGTAAAGCCATTGATACTATGAATTCAAATGAAGTATTTGCACATGCAGACATAAATAATAAAGAAAAAATAAAAAATGACAATGAAGATCAAGACCTAGAAGTTCAAGTGGATAAAGTCAGTAATACTGCTATGAATATTGAAATAGATAATGTTGATAATAGAACTGGTGATACAGAAAAAGATTTAAAACATTGGAACAGAAAAAAATATATAATTTCAAATGAAGTATTAACTCATACAGACATTAATAATAACAAGGAAAAAAGAAAAAATGACTATGAGGATCAAGATCTGGAAGTTCTAAGGGGTGAAGTCATTGTTGTTGCTATGGATATTGAAAATAATGATGCTGATAATAAAACTGGTGGTACAGAAAATGATTTAGAAGATTGGAACAGAGAAAATAATATGACTTCAAATGAAGTAATAACTCATGCTGACATTAATAGTGATACAGAAGAGCAACAATATGATGAGGGTCAAGTACTTGTAATTCAAGGGCCTGAGATAGATGAGGTTAACGCCAATGATATTGCTGTGGATATTGAAATAAATAATTTTGGCAATAGTACTGGTAATACATATAATGATTCAGAACCCTCTTACAGAGAAATTGATTCAGCTACAAATGAAGTATATACTGATGAAAGTGAAGATATTTACACAGCACAACTACTAAATGCAAAGGAGGAGCAAGTTTTCAAAATTCAAGGACCAGAGATGGATGCTGGTAAAGTCAAAGATACTTTAATTGATATTGCAATAGTTGATATTGGTAATAGAATTAGTGATTCAAAGAGTGTTTCAGGATTTGACATTGATCATGAATGTGATTTATTTAATAGTAAGGAAAAAGTTGAATTAACTAATTCTGATTTTGAAAATATGTCCTGTACTGATATACAAGAAAAACATTTTATTGAAATGGATAAAGAAGCAGATATAGAAATTCAAAGATGGATAAGGTGTAGAGAAAGTAAGAGACAAGATCAAAGAGTAGAAATTATTGATGAGGAAGTGATTAATCAGAATGCTGAAGGACAGTATTATCAGAGAGATGTTACTGGTTTAGAAGATCATAAAAATGTAACTGATATAGAAGTACATGTAATTAAAAATATTGATGGACCTGAACTACATAATGTGAAAGAGGGATCTGACTCGTTTTCAGAGCAAGCAAATATTGGTAGTATAAGCAACAAGATTTCACTACTGCAAAACACAGGTAAGATAATTTCTATAAAACATTTTCACACCTATAGCAACATGCTTATAATAAAACAGACATACATGTTGATAACCATTCAGGATTATTTTGGTTATAATGTATTAGAGGTATTCTCGTAACTGTATTCTTTATTATCCCCCGCCGATGAAATAGGAAGGGGATATAGAAATGGTGTTGTCTGTCCGTCCATCTGTCCGCACATACACAACATACATTAGGGGGTTAAGGTTTCTGTACAAATTGACATTATAAGGTTCATTCCGTACAAACGGTAGTCGTGGGGTTAAATTTGCATTATGGGGTTAAAAAATTTGTATTGTGGGGTTAAAAAGATCAAAGGAAGATCAAAGGAATAACCCCAGAATTTAGCTCTGGTAAGTACGTCTGGGCAAGTAAAAAAAAATTAGTTTTTAGGGGCCATCTAACTGTAAACAGAACAAAAGAGAACAATTGACTTCATTCCGTAATAATAGACTAAAAGTAAGGGGCTATGGCCCTCTGTTCAAACAAAAGAAAATAACAAAAGAAATGGCCCATTAGTCCAATTTATGCCGAGCATCCGTCTGTCCATCCTTCCGTCCGTCCTTATACAACTACAATATAATTTTGATAATATAATTTTTTTTGAATTAAGAAAGAAAAAAAAAGGAAACAAAGACTTGATAATACCAGACTAAAAGACAAATTTCTATTCATATAAATAATATTCCAAACTAGATGTATGTGTCCGTTTTAAAAATGTTGTGTAGCTGTAACATACAGGCTATTTAACATTAACAAAATTAATGTTTAATGATATTGTATGTTAGAATATATGAATTTGATTTGATGATCATTGAGCATAAATTTTCATTCTTATGTGCACTTGTATTCTAATAGTAGCAAATAAAAAGACCAAATGACATAAATGTCATAATTAGATTTTGATGTCATTTTATCTCAATAAGATGTCCTTTACTATAAGAGCTATTTTGCTTGGGATTGATCAGTTTTATGAGATTTTTATCATAATAAGTAAAGAAACAAAATTCATTTTGACTGATATTCTGAGGTACATACTTCTAAGAAGCTTCATTCAAGAGATTTTTATCACACGGCGGGGGATATCAATTCAACGAATTTGCTTGTTATATATAATAATATGGTTTGCATTATTTGACAGAAAATGTTGCATTATACATGGCCAATTAGATTATTTTAAGCTTTTGATTCATTTGAAATACAGGTGAGCAAATGTCACAACCAAAGAACACTATGTATTTAATCATGCAATTAATATTTTTATAGTAATAACAGTATTGTACAAAAGGTTCTAAGTGCATCACATGATAAATTTGCGAGACAATCAGCACACAATTTTGTCCGTATTGGTGCATATATAGACAATTGGAAAAAATTGCAACCTTTTCATTATGTGAAAATAATATGTTTTACAGTATTATGTTCTGGTTGTGTCTGCATTCTGTCTTTAGTTGTTCAGGCAGGAATTACCAGAATTGGCCTGACATTTTGATATTATCAACTTTTAGACACATTTCTTTCAAACATTTCAAAACATCTTAGCATTTAGAATAATATTTATGTAATGTAAAGAAGAAGAAAAAAATAAATGTACAGGCCAATTTCGGTAATTCCATGCCGATTCCAGTTGATTCCAGTGAATCGGCCGATTCCGGTAAGTCGTATAGCTGATTTTTGTATGAATATTAAATCTTGTAATTCCAGATTAATGTATTAGGGATTCCATAGGGATCCCAGGGTCAAACACTGTCAAAATTTCTCAAAAGGTTCTGGTCGACTTAAAATAAAATCCACTTAGCTTAAAATAGGAAAACCTTTCACATCTCTTCCTGAACCACTTGGTTAATAATGATTTAAGTTTTACAAGAGTTAGATGGAACTCTGAATAGTTATAACTTTAATGATCTTCATCTATAAAAGTTCAGGGCTTAGATATTTAGCTAGAAGACCTATAGTCCTCTTCAAAGATTATTTAAATTATAGCTCTACTGTTTAAATTGGCACAACCAAAGGAGGTCATAGGTTTTTTTCACCATATACATGTCGTAAAAAGTGTAAAAATCTATCCTTTTAAACCAGAAAAGGCTAGGGCAAGAGATTGTTTAGTTCACCTCTTCAAAGACAAATTATTAAGCTACTCACCCTATATTTACAGCTATTGACATAGATAATTGTCTGATTGCTGGAAACTGGTCCAGAAAACATTTTTTTATCATTTTTGTACTTTATGGGTCACATATCCTGCTAGATAAGTTGCTTTAAAAAATTACTGTCCTGAAAATGCTCACAAAATATATTTCAGGTAAATGGGGAGCAGTGGCTATAGTAAAAGGAGGGGAAGAAATTGGTGTTTATCCAATGGAAACTGATCTTCTGTCTATCGGAAGGTAAGTTGTTATTTATCAGTAATTTCTTGATAATTTTCAATGATTGTAACACTTCATTGTAAACATTGCTCTAGAAATACAATTACACATTCACATGAGGTAGCAGGGCATTAGCTCCCTATAACTTTACCTCCCAAAATTGGTACTTTTCTCTTAAAGAAAACATATTTTCCTAAGTCACTAATGATTCCCTTTGAGGAAGGAAATGTCAAATTTTGCAATTAAAAATAAAACATTAGTGATAAAGAATAGCACGCAGTAGTTAATTATAGAAATTAAGAGAATTATAAGTTTGTGTACTTTACTTGTATATTTTTTATTTGATTTTTTTTCTTTTTTACTAAATTTGTATTGCTTTTTAAGAAGAGGATGCTAAGCTGCCCAAACAAGTGTGAAAAAGGCCTGTCATATATTTAAATTGTTTTGTAAACCGAGAAAGCCCTTGTTTTGGGTACACTGGTTTGTATTGCACTTTTAAGGATGACAACAAGATTATCAGCATGAATATGATAACATAAATATGTTTTGATTTGTATTTTAGTGCTGAGACAGATGACATTAGAGTGAAAACAGCAGTAAAACATGAGGCATTAATAGAAGTAAACCAGCAGGGAGAGGTAAATTAAGTTTTCTGAAAATTCAGTTTTCTTAAGCATCAATTTTTGTCAAAATGTACTATTTTGAATTTGGGCATAATTTCCCTGATAATATGTTGTCCAAAGTACTTATGATGACCAAATATTTCTTTAAAAAGGTTCCTTAATGAAGAGATCATTTCAGGTCTATCAACCTCTGCAATATTTATTTAAATGTTACCAATGTCCTTTTGTATAAATTTAAAGGTTGAGACAGTTATTTCACTTTGTTGATTTCAGATATTTCTGGTTAATTCAAGTACTCAGAAAGTTGAGCGCCTCTCTGATAATACTATCTTTGAAGTTGGTGGGAGAGCATTAAAATGGAAAGCTAAGACAGGTATTTGATAAAAAAGATATCTTGTAAATTCAAGTTTATTTTTAGAAAATTCATTTAATAGGGATCTTGTTTTGGCCTTTATAAACATAGAAAAAATGTAAGCTCAAGTTCTTATGATAACAGAGCATAAGTTCATTAATAAATTGTATGCAAACATCACATAAATTATGCATTTTTTAAAGTAAGATAATGGAAAACTATTAATGAAAAAAAAAGAAAAGAAAAAAAACTATTATCAATTTTTTGTCTGTTGATTACTGCAATATGAAAAACTTAAAATTCAATAATGTAATGCCTATATGAATGATGTGAGACATTTGTTAAAGCAATTATAACTTGTATCATAAAAAAACTAAAATAGCATCAATTTCAAAGCAAATTTGATGTGTCTAGTAAAGGATGTTCCAGACTATTATTCTTTTAATCCACACACCATTGGCTTTCACATGAATTTCAGGACATGAAATTAAGAAGTCCTCACTATTGAACTCTACCCTCTCTCTCTCTCTCTTTCTCACTGGCGAATGGGGACATTTCCAAAAGCTGGAGAAATACTGTTTAATGTCTGCTAACATATAAGGACTAGGTCAATGCAATCATTTTCATGTCTCATAGTTTTCAGAGTTTCAAAAACCTTTGCAAAACATAGAATTAATTTTTAATGGCCTACATACTACAGAATATTATGAAACAATCTTTGTTTTTTATGTTTAATGTCTTATTCAAAATTTAAAGTTTTTTTATGGCTGCTATTTAATAGTCGTTCAATGATCATTTAGTACATTAAATGTAAATTACTACCTTTGTGTTTGCAGGTACTTGTCAACAAGATGAAAAGGTGGAGTTAGTTGTTTTGAGAGAAAACAATGCTTTCAAACTGGCTGGTTATGGTGAGCAACAGCAAAGCAACATGATTACAGACAGCAAAATGGTATTTTTCTTTATATCATTGCTCAGGACTGTTCTGGCCTATTTTTAAGTAATTGACCAGTCGCAGAACATGATATCTGCCAGTCTGATAAGACAAAACCTTAGACAAACATGCATCAATTGTGGTGGATACAATTTGATGATTAACAGGTTTAACCGTCAGATTTGAAGAATATCTAATGACATCTCAATGTGTTTTTGTAAATTTGGTAATACATTATACTTTCACCCCCTCACATTAGAGCTGTCATCGATAGAGACAATATCGATATATCGTTGATATTTTTTTGCCGATCAATAATCGATACACATTTCAAAAAATCGATACTTTTGACTAATTAATTAAATGTCTAGAAATTATAAAAAAAACACCCAAAACATATACAGAACAGTTATTTATGTCTTTTGTTATATAGTGGAAATATTTCATAGCAATGGCCGGACAAAAAATATTGTCTGGAAGAAAAATGCAGTGGACAATACACTGTACAGAACATGATTTAACTGAAATAATTTAAACAGGTATGAAAGTGAATGACAGACAAGTAATTATATATTATTATTGATATATCGGTGTATCGTTGATTTTAGTCATCTGATATCGATATATCGTTGATATGCTTTGCACTGAATCAATGACAGCTCTACCTCACATAGAATTAAATGAATTTTGCAGTCTAGGAAAATAAAGTTGGCTAAAATGTTTATGTATAAATAAACTACAAAATAGTTATTGTAAATGAAAATCATATTTAAATCAGGCTTGTGTGTTTATAGGCACGTGTAAAATATTCTGATTATGGAGTTTCAGTCGATATTGTCTTTTGTTGGTCTATTGTCTCTATTTTACCATCATTCCATCATAGAACAGGAATAAAAATCTTTACCTTGATCAGGCTTGTTAACAGAATGTATATATATATATATATTGGAGAAAAAAGAAAAATGTCTGCTTTTGATATCATTACACCAGAATTCCTTTAATTCATAGTCATTATATTCAAATAGATATTTACTTGTTTGGAAATAATATTCAGTAATCTTATAGATAATTTTCACTAATGATTTTGGATTATGATCAATCTAAAACATGATATTAGTATGTTCCAGGATCAATACTTAATCTGATTTGATTCTTCGTAAAAAAACTCAATTGTAAAAATATGCAAACTATTAATAAAGTTCTGGGACAATATTAATTTTGATATTAGAATTGTATCTTTATTTTTACTTTTTTAAATTTAGAAATTATCAATCTATAAAACAGTTAAATTTTTACCAGTTAGTACACCTTCATGTTTGTTGAACTACGCTTGTTTACACTAACATGTGGATATATCTTTATGCTGGTGATTGAATTAAGTTTATTTTATTCATCTATTACATCTTGCTTTTCATGGAAAAAATAGATATTTAATATAGTGTTATCTTATTTACATAAATCCGACTTTCACATATTATTCGGACAGTGTCTAAATATTTGTACACCCGCCTAAAGACCAGGATTTTTCATGAAATGATCAAAGTCGCTGCAAAACAAATGCATTTTTGTCGTAACCAACATAACAAGATTTTCAGATAATTATTTAAGAACATAAAATACATGTGAATTATGTACATTTCACTTGTCAATAATACGTTATAAGGGGGAATGACGTCACACACGTGCTGTGTAAAATGGTGTGCCAAGTGTTCCAAAATGTTTGTGTAAAATTATTTCATCATGAAGCAATGTTCATTCAATAAATTCAAAGCTTTTATGTTGAAATTGAATCAGTGATCAATAAAAATATTAATTTCTTATGAGTTCACCTGCCTGTATAATTATTTGAGTAAGCTTTTGCAGTATATTAGATTATTAAGCTGTCTTTAATTTAATATTGTCAAATCATGACATGTAATTTTTATTGTCGTTTTTATGCCACCGCAGCATATGCGATGCAGTGGCATATAGCAATTCACCTTTTAGTGTGTGTGTGTGCATGTGCTTGCGTGCGTGTGTGTGTTATATAGATTATATAGTGAACTTAAAAAATTTTCTTGTAAAAAAATGTTAGTCCAAATTCAACCAAACTTGGCAGGATAGTGTATCTCTGCCAAGGTTGTTCAAATTATGGCCCTAGGGTCAATGTTTAAAAATCTTTTTGTCAGAAACCACAAGGCCTAGAGCTTAGATATTTTATATGAAGCATACTCTAGTAGACCTCTACCAAAGTTGTTTAAATTATGACCCTAGGGTCAGTAATGGCCCCGTCCATTTTACATAGACTTATATAGGAAAACTTTAAGAAATCAAAAGACCTAAAGCTTAGATATTTTGCATGTAGCATACTCTAGTAGACCTCTACCAAAGTTGTTCAAATTATGGCCCTTGGGTCAGTATTGGCCCCCTCCCGGGGTCACTGATTTTACAAAAACATCTTCTTGTGTATTATATTATAGGCTTATTAACAATGTATAATGCGGTGGCATAGCATTTTTTTACAAATGCAATCTTGTTCATGCATAGAAATTCATTCACTGACTAAAGGGTTGTTTTAAGATTGATTTTCAGTTGATTATAATTTGCAATTGTAAGTATTTGGTCATAAGTTGCATTAAGTATGAATAGAAAAAAAAATAGAAAAAAGGGTTTAAAGGCTTATAAACATCAATCTGAACTATGAACATCATGAACATGATTGATTTTTCAAATATCACATGAATCATGTTGATGTCTTCTTGTATGTTGGAAGTTCTGACTGATTCCAGGAAGCAGAATCAGGAGTTATTTCGATAAGTTTCTTCACAATTCAACTGAAAGAAAACCATCATGTTTATACTAAACTACAATGCCATTAAGATTTTTTTTCTCGGATATTTTACGGCAACAGAAAGGTTTGAAAATTATTGCAAATAGTAATAAAAACTCATTCCAAAGTCCATGTGTCCAAAAAAAAATTCATCTACTAAGCACTAATGATTCAGGATTTAATGTTAACATTTTAATGTTTTGTCTTGTAATTTTAGTGTTTGATGTTGCACTTTTTCATTATCTCTCATGAACAGGCTCAATAAAACCGAGTCTGCAGTTTTCTAAGCTTGGGACTCTGGTTTGGTTGCTCTCGAGGGATCGACCTTTTACCAGAATATTTATAATTCACAACAGCAGGTGTCAAGTGCTTGTGTGGCGGCCGTAGAAAGTCGCCCCGTACTTCATCTCAGTGTTGTTATATTTTTTCTGGTCCTTCGGGATCAACGACTCCAATACTTTCTTGTGTTGAGAACTGAGTACCGCTCAAGCCGGTGCTAGGGGGCGTGAGAGATGTTGCACTTTTTCATTATCTCTCATGAACAGGCTCAATAAAACCGAGTCTGCAGTTTTCTAAACTTGGGACTTTGGTTTGGTTGCTCTTGAGGGATCGACCTTTTACCAGAATATTTATCAGTGAATTAGTATTCTTATTTATGAAAGTCAGAGGAAATGACTAAACTAGAGTAACATAATCTAGAATTTTTAAATTGCTTATGCTGACATTTCTGAGTTTATGATTCAAAACACTTCTCAATTCTATGAACAGTGTCCACACTTGTTAATGTGCTTGTTTTAGACATTGAATTGACGATTACTATGTTTCCCCAAAAACTGACTCATTGTAGATCATGATGACTCAAGTTTCGTTTCAAATTTTTAAAATATATGGCTAGCTTAAATCTACAATGACTCTTTACTGAAAGTCACTGTTGACCTTGATCAAAATGCACACTGTTAGAAATAAGTAAACTTATAGACTGTTTCCTTATGCATTTATAATTTTTAAAGTTTGTAATTCAAGTCAAACATTGAACATATTGGTTAAATTATTAATTATACTTGAAGGTTTTGACTATAATTGCTTTTTTAATGTTAAGAGGAATGTAATATATTTATGAGCTACATACTTCTTTGTTTAGATTTTGTTCTTAGCAACTTATTCAATATTTAAAAATTACATTGCTCAATGATAATGTTTAAAATAATCAAAATGAAATTGTTCAATTGAACTGACAATTTTTTTATCATGATCTAAAAGTTTGCATCTAGTAATTCTCATTTTAATTGGACATGAGCTTAAAGTTTTTCTCTTCCGCTTTGATGTTTGCATTAATATTGCATTCTTATAGGTAAAAGGCTGTCATTTTTATAACATGAGTTACGCTTTAAAAATACTCTTTGGAGATTTTCGTTTGATAAATCAAACATTGTATCACACTTTCCTTGACCTTGAGTGTCTTTGGTCTTGTTTTTAAATCAATGCAGTCAAAAGGAAAACGTTTGTTTATCATAGAATTTTTGTTTTGTTCTTTTCATCGTTTAAAAAATAAAATCTTTAAACTGATCAGGTAAAAGTTTTGACAAATTGTTTCAGTTTTCAAACGTGTGCGCATGGCAACTCTCACCAAACTGAAAGTAAGCGTCCAATAAATATCACATGCTTAATAGTAAAACTCCTAATTATGCAAATAAACATTTTTGGCAGCAGAGAGTGCCAGTATTTATTACTATTATTACTATTTCATTCTTGATAAGTGTCTGAATATTTAGACACCTTCAGACACGTTTTCCACAGCATATAGTCAAAAAATTCAGTCGGATAATAATTCATGATAAAGATGATATCCATGATAGAAAATAAGTTTCGTATAAAGACATGAGCCCATCATTTTTCGGTCAAAATTTGAGATCTCTATCATTTGTAATGACAGAGATATTCTCATGAAACCTCAAAGTCCATCTGGATTTAGGCACTGAAACAGTATTGGTGTGCAGTGTAATTTCTGGGAAATAAAAATTTTTTATTTTTTTTCTGAAGATTTTCTGATTATAATCACACTACTTAGACAATCTTGGAGAAGATGTTTGTCTAAGGAAAATGGTGGCAATGGCAATTATTGAGTAGATTGGATAATAAGTTGTAATTGAGAGACAGGTGGCGACTGGTCAATTACTGAACAGACAATAATAGGAATCAATTAACTTTGCAGAAATTTAAAAAATCATTAGTAGTCTAATAGTAGACATTAAATTTTTCTTTGTTTGAATGCTTTAATACAAAGTATAGAAATTGGTTAATAATTTTAAGTTTGTTCAATTAATAGGACTATGAAATTTACCACTTAAATGTAATTAATTTTATCTTGGTATATATTGAATTCTTACATTCCCATAAAACACAATAACACCAAAGTCAGATATATCGTATAATTTTGATATTACAAGGAATAAACAAATGATATTGTGTTACTTTTGCAGCATGGCTTTGTACCAAATTCAGACTCTGAAGCTGAATCTGATGTGGTTCCCTACCCGGTAAATGAATTTTCTCAATGATTTTGAATATGTAGACTACTGTTAGTAAAGAGAATTATATAAGGAAATTGAACTACTTTAAAAGAAATTTCCAAATACAGTATAAGTACTTATTTCTGCGGGCTTAATATTCTGAGATTTTTGTTAAAATAAGGAGTTTTTTCCTTATTTTAAAGTTCTGCGTATCTTATTTCTGCAGTGTTATCATTCCCGCATTGATGTGCTTTATTTCTGCATTTTATCAATATATTTGTACAAAATTAACCAATTTAAAACAGACAACATTATTTATTTGTTAATGTCAGAATACTTCCAATTAATAAATGCAGACAACTGATAAGTGTATTGTGGTGATCATCATGCAAAAACGAAAAAGAAAAACATGGAATAACAGCAATTTTAATATATTTATAAATATGAAGCATTCTTGCATTTTACTGTCTTGTAAGTACATTATATTCAAGTGGATAAGTGCACATACGTAGGTAAGTGTGAAATAAACAATGGCATAAATCACACATAGACACAAGAAACATACAAATACAAAAGAATATGTTTATTGCAGGTTTTAATTACAATACAAAACAATGGGCCATTATTTTATCAAATCTTTGAAATTTTAAACAGCGAGTTCAACAAAGGTAACTTAAAATTAAGGCAGTATAAACTTGTCAAAATTATAATTGCTGTTTTAAAAACTATTTGCAAAGTATCAAGCTTGGGGTGAGCGAAAATCATACCAACATGATATTTATTTAAAAAGTACAGGAAAAGTAATGACTATTCTCCTATCTTTGTTCAAGGTATATGCATAAAGACATTGTTAATGGCTAAGGATGCATGGTTGTGTAATATACAATACCAGTAGATGAAAATGTTACAATATTTTCTTAAAAGAATTAAAGGCTTAATTTTCTGAGGTTTTTAAATCTGTGGTATTTTAATCATACGCAGAAAAATAGCAGAAATAAGGTTCCTGCAGTAAAAAAGTACTTATACGGTAGCTTGATTTTTTATTAGCTCACCTGAGCATATGCTCAGGGTGAGCTATTAGGATCACTCTTCGTCCGTCGTCCGTCGTCCGGTGTCCGTCGTCCGTCGTACGTCGTCCGTTGTCCGTTCACACTTTTCAAACGACATCTCCTCTGAAACCATAAGGCAGATCATAATGAAACTTCACAGGGATGTTCCTTGTGTGAAGCCTTAACAAAGTTGTTCAAAGAATTCCATTCCATGCAGAACTCTGGTTGCCATGGCAACCAAAAGAAAAAAAAACTTTAAACATCTTCTTCTAGAAAAACCCAAAGGGCTAGAGCTTAGATATTTGGTATGAAACATCTTCTAGTGAGTGTCTAACAAGATTGTTTCAAATAAAAGCCCTGGGGTCAAAATTGGCCCCGCCCCAGGGGGTCATTGATTTTCCTATATGCATATAGTAAAAACTTAAAAAAAATCTTCTTTTAAAGAACCCAAAGAGCTAGACCTAAGATATTAAGCATGAAACATCTTCTAATGAGTGTCTACCAAGATTGTTCAAATAAAAAGCCCTGGGGTCAAAATTGGCCCCGCCCCAGGGGGTCATTGATTTTCCTTATATGCATATAGTAAAAACTTAAAAAAATCATCTTCTAAAAAACCCCAAAGAGCTAGAGCTTAGATATTTTGGCATTAAACATGTTCTAATGATGTCTACCAAGTTTGTTCAAATAAAAGCCCTGGGGTCAAAATTGGCCCGCCCCAGGGGGTCATTGATTTTCCCTATATGCATATAGTAAAAACTTAAAAAAAATCTTCTTTTAAAGAACCAAAAGAGCTAGACCTAAGATATTAAGCATGAAACATCTTCTAATAAGTGTCTACCAAGATTGTTCAAATAAAAGCCCTAGGGTCAAAATTGGCCCCGCCCCAGGGGGGTCATTGATTTTCCCTATATGCATATAGTAAAAACTTAAAAATATCTTCTTTTAAAGAACCCAAAGAGCTAGACCTAAGATATTAAGCATGAAACATCTTCTAATGAGTGTCTACCAAGATTGTTCAAATAAAAGCCCTGGGTCAAAATTAGCCCCGCCCCAGGGGGTCATTGATTTTCCTTATATGCATGTAGTAAAAACTTTAAAAAAATCATCTTCTAAAAAACCCAAAGAGCTAGAGCTTAGATATTTGGCATTAAACATGTTCTAATGGATGTCTACCAAGTTTGTTCAAATAAAAGGCCTGGGGTCCAAATTGGCCCCGCCCCAGGGGGTCATTGATTTTCCCTATATGCATATAGTAAAAAAGTTAAAAAAAATCTTCTTTTAAAGAACCAAAAGAGCTAGACCTAAGATATTAAGCATGAAACATCTTCTAATAAGTGTCTACCAAGATTGTTCAAATAAAAGCCCTGGGGTCAAAATTGGCCCCGCCCCAGGGGGTCATTGATTTTTCCTATATGCATATAGTAAAAACTTTAAAAAATCTTCTTTTAAAGAACCCAAAGAGCTAGACCTAAGATATTAAGCATAAAACATCTTCTAATAAGTGTCTACCAAGATTGTTCAAATAAAAGCCCTGGGGTCAAAATTGGCCCCGCCCCAGGGGGTCATTGATTTTCCCTATATGCATATAGTAAAAACTTAAAAAAATCTTCTTCTAAAAAACCCAAAGAGCGAGAGCTTAGATATTTGGGCGTAAACATGTTCTTATGGATGTCTACCAAGTTTGTTCAAATAAAAGCCCTGGGGTCAAAAATTGGCCCTGTCCCAGGGTTTATTGATTTTCCCTATATGCATATAGTAAAAACTTTAAAAAAATCTTCTCTTAAAGAACCCAAAGAGCTAGAGCTAAGATATTAAGCATGAAACATCTTCTTATCAGTGTCTACCAAGTTTGTTCAAATAAAAGCCCTGGGGGTCAAAATTGGCCCGCGCCCAGGGGGTCATTGATTTTCCCTATATGCATATAGTAAAAACTTTAAAAAAATTCTTTTAAAGAACCCAAAGAGCTAGACCTAAGATATTTAGCATGAAACATGTTCTAATGGGTGTCTACCAAATTTGTTCAAATAAAAGCCCTGGGGTCAAAATTGGCCCTGTCCCAGGGGTTATTGATTTTCCCTATATACATAGAGTAAAAAGTTAAAAATCTTCTATTTAAAGAACCAAAAGAGCTAGAGCTAAAATATTTAGCATGAAACATGTTCTAATGGATGTTTACCAAGTTTGTTCAAATAAAAGCCCTTGGTCAAAAATGGCCCTGCCAGGGAGAGGGGGGGGGGGGGCAAAAGTCATTGTTATTCATTATTTGTGTATAGTAAAACTTAACATCATGAAATATCTTCTAATGGGTGTCTTCCAAGTTTGTTGAAATAAATGCCCTTTGGTTTAAACTGGCCCGGCCCTGGGGGCCTATGTTCAGGTGAGCGACCCCAGGGCCATCATGGCCCTCTTGTATTGTATATTTACCCATTAAAACAAAAGTGATTGAAGAATTTCAATAATTCTGTCATGCACAGGTGTCTGTCATTGAAAGATGCAATTTCTATTGATGTGTTAAACATAGTTTATATTTTGTTTCAGAAGCTGAGCTCCATTGTGGTGACAAATGCTGACTCTACAACTTCATCAATGTCTGAAGGTAAGTTAAAGATAGAGTTTTGATTGAAATTATTATTGAATACTACATGTTTTGTGTAGCCTGCACAGTTGATCTTATTTTAAGTCAAAACAACTCATTTACCAAGTATAATATTTGTTTCTGACTTATCATTGAAGAAAAAGTTTGTGCTATATATAATTTACACTGCATAAAATTTAATGTTGCAGTGGCATTATGCTTTAAAAATAGAGTGTTGTTTTAAAATTACATGTTAGTTTTGCCTTATTAAGGGAATACTTATTACATTAATAAGTTATTCAGTTAACTGTGTTTTGCAGAAAAGCAGAGGAAGAAAGTTATCTCAGTACGTAATAAAGAGGATCGTGCTGGAAAAGTTGACTACTCAAAGAGACATGCTTGCATTTTTTGTGGACAGTTAGACCTGAAAATTGCCAGACATTTATGTAGCAAAAAACATGAAAATGAAGAACTTATAGCACGACTGCCACCTGTTTCGAAGCCGGGAAGTGAACTCCAGAAAAGGCGTGAAAAAACTTTAAATGCACTGAGAAATGAGGGTGATTTTATATATAACATTGACATTCTTAAATCAGGAAGTAAGAATCAAAGTGGAATAATAGTTGCAAAACGACCATCGGAAGGAAGTCACAATGCAGAAGATTATTTACCATGTAGATATTGTCTGAGATTCTATGTACAAACTGAACTGTGGAGGCATAGTGTTAATTGCTCCTTTAGACAAGATCCTATTGTGAATGAATCTAACAAAAGTGATGAAAAAGAATCTTCAAGATTCATTAAATCAGGCAGGATGTTGCTGCATGGAGCTGGTGTCCATCTTCACAGTGGAGAAACATCTTGGGAGGATGACGAATTTTATACATACGTGTTGGGTGCTTTACAAAATGATACAATTGGTCGAAGCTTAAAGAGAGATTCTGGACTTATTCTCTATGGAAAAACTGAGTTTGAAAGACTGGGAAGAAGGAGGGCAAATGAGGTTAGATACAGGATGAGGCTTCTTGAAAGGATTAAAACTGTTGTGAAGTCTTTGCATGAATCAGACAGTTCTTTTGATATGGAGTCACTGTTAACCCCAGATAGGTTCCCATCATTCATACAGGCTGTGAGGACTGTTGTTGGCATATCAGAAGAGAGAAGTTTGAATGGAGTAATGATGTTTGACAAGCCAGAGCTTGCAAGAAAGGTTGGCCAGATGATAAGGAAGTTCGCTGAAATGTGTGAAGGACGGTCTGTTGTGAATGGAAATCGAGAAGCAAGACAGAGTGTTACAGACTTTCTCTTCCTATATACAAGTCAGTGGAAATCAAAGATCGGAAGTATAGCGCATCAAACAAGTGCTGAGAAAAAATTCAACAGAAAAACTGCATTACCTCTTACAGAGGACCTGAAGAAGATGCAACAGCACCTTGATAAAGAAATTGTTGAGCGAGGTAATAAGCTACAGAAATTTCCTTGCTCACAAACTTGGAAGGAGTTTGCAAAAGTGCTTCTTACAAAGTTGACATTATTCAATTTTCGTCGGGGAAACGAATGTGCAGCCATGCAGGTTGCCAAGTTTCAGCAAAGAAATGATTGGAAGCTCGATAACCAGGAGATATACCAGTCCCTTCAGAGATTTGAACAAGAATTAGCCCAGAGGTGAGTAAAATCATCTAAATTGATTTGAATTTGAGATAATTAAAAATTAGGGAAATATTTCTGATGGCTGTAAAGCTTATAAACAATTGCTTAGCTATCTATGACATTTACTTTCATTACTTGCTTACTGGACATGCCTTTCCATGGATTTTACCCATGCTGGAAAAGTCGATCTGGCATCCCCTATGCCAGAGAAGTCACATGCTGTCATTGGCACTGTACAACATCATCATTTCGCACAGGCTTGAACATAGAACATCAGTAAATGAAAAAATATATTGATAAGATAAACAAGTAAATGTTTCTATGTACAGTCAAACCTATGTTAAAGACCACCTATGATTAAAGACCACCTGGCTTTAAAGACCAAATTTACTTAATCCCAGTGACTAAGTTGAATGGTATCAAACCTGTGAACAGAGACCACCTGTCAATAAAAACTACTTTTAACTGATCCCCTAGGTAGTCTTTATAGACAGGTTTGACTATACTTGAGGTCCGAAATGGGAAATCTGCCATTCGGGTACCTGCCCATGGTTGGTGAGTCTGCAAGCCTCGTCACCGACCAATGGGCAGGTACTCTTGTGACAGATATCCCTATCCTGAACTCAAACACATGACAGAAATTATTAGTCTTTCATGACAGTGCGAGGCATCTTGTTAAAATTCATGTTTTCCATGTGATAACATATAAGGACCTTTTTAGTTGGTTGGAGTAGTATCCTGAAGCCTTTATGAAAGAAACAAATTACACGACTTTAGGCAAAAGTGGAACAATTGAAAATAGTCAGTGACTGAAAATTGTGAAAGGAGGTATCATGTCAAGTAACCATAATATTACATTTTGCTTGATTTTTGGGTTATCTCCCTTAATGATACTTAATAATGCTTGTCTTGAGTATAGCTCCTTAATCATCTGTGAAATCTTATTGAAACTTTACATGGCGATATAAAATAGTGAGAGGAAGTGCAGTGTCAATCAAATTCTACCTTGCTTTGATTTTTGAATTATCTCCCTTTATAATGCTTAATAATGCTTTCCATATGACTCAATCAATTATGTTCTATTGAAACTTGATATTTTTTTTACATGTAGAGACTAATTTTAAGAACATTTTCACATAGTTACTTCGGTCAAGGTCCTTGTAAAGTCTTCATTTATTGGTTGATGTGCAGTGAAATACATTGAAAATTGTGCAGCATCGAGGAGCATTATTCACCTTGAGTGATATGTCTTGTTTAATTTTGATAGCTTGGGGGACATAATTTTGCAGATTTGACAAGTAATAGATCATTTCAAACAAAGTGTTTGAGTAAAATAGTATGTACTTAGTATTACACATACACTTGATTGGCTCAATCGTAGCAAGGTCAAAAAAATTGGGGATTGGCTGAGAACACATTTACTATGGTATTCTTTGATAAACACACTATCAGACAAGCTTATATTAGGGGCATTTGTCATTCCTGTGACATCTTTTGTTTTATTTGTAAATATTTTAGGTTAGGCCTTTAAACGGTTTAAAGTTGTTTATCAAGGAAAGGAGGAAAACAACTTTTATATAACTACATATTTAAAAACCGTACAGGATAGATTTATCACTGTTGGTTGATAAAATTACATTGTTTGGTGCACACCATGTCATATGAGCACATTTCAAGCTAAAGATAATATAACATTATTTCAGAGCTACATGTTAATTTAATCACTATATTATTTTACAGAATGGACTTGGTTGAAGTAATGGGGAAGAGGAATAGAAAAGTACCTGTTCTCCTAACCCAACCAATGAAGGCTGGCATAGAAAGACTAATACAATTTAGAGACATTTGTGGCGTACATCCAGAAAATATCTATGTCTTTGCCAAGGTAATAGAGGCATGGTTATTAATATATTAAATCATTGATCAAATAAACATTTCTTTTCAGTACCAGAATACCCCTGTCAAATAATTTGGCACAGTTGTTAAAAAATTACTAAAAAAAATTAGTTAACCCTTAACCTGCTAGAAGCAAAATTAATTAGCCTTTATCACCAGTATAGAGCCAGGCCAGCCTGCACATCCATGCAGTCTGACCAGGCTATATACTGTTGGCTAACTAACTTCTAATTTTCAGCTTGATATCCCCAAGTATGATAATGGACTGGTCCACAAATGGTAGCTGGACAAATCCATTTTAGAAATTCAGCAGGTTAAGATTAAATCATGCATGTAGCTCTAATTATAAATTTAGTTTGTATAGTAGATCGTTCTTTTCTAAAGAAAAGCTTGTACTTTATCAAATCAATAAATCAAATAATTGTGAAAAAAAGCTTAAGTACATGTAAATTTTAGTAACTTATTTTATTAATAGTAGGGCACAAACACTGAACTTCTTAGATGGTTCCCGTTTAGGTAAACTACATGTAAGTGTAATGGATTTGGACCAGCTTTTGCAGAATGTGCTTTGCATTAAAATATTAAGCTTCTTAAATATGCATATTATTGAAGAAAAATAGTGTTAATTGTTTTTATTAACAGTAGGTCGGGAAATACTTTACCTTATAATTCATGTAAAAATATAGATGATTTGTCAATTTTTTTTCTATTTAACTTTTAAATTGGATTTCTTGTTTTATAGATTTTAAAGAAAAATGTCCGAGTCGGTAGGATTTTAGATACACTAGGTCTGCCTTTCAATCTGGTTTGTTTTATGTCCGATTAATATTTTTATGCATAGGCCAATTTTCCTGAAATATATAAAAAAATGGGCAAAAAGTTTTGTGATAAGGAAATATTGCACAATTATGTTCCTTGATCTCCAGATCAGAAAGTGTGCCCTACTGATTAGGAACTTGCACATAATTTGGTTCTGTGTTTAAATCTTGGTTTAGCTGAAGTTTTAACAATACTGCATAATCATATATTTATTTTAGGGTCAGAAGTCTTTCATTGAAGGCAGTGACAGGCTTTCTACTGGTCCCTACTGGTCCCTACTTTTCCTACTTTTCCCACTTTTCCCTACTTTTTTCTTTTGATCCCTACTTTGCCCTACTTTTTTCTGAAATACCCATATTATCCCTACTTTTTCAATTTGAAATGAAATGAAAAAAGAAGATATTTAAAATGGTATTTCAGTTGTATTTTCAGTTGCAATTGATTAATAGTTCAGGTGTGTGTGTGTCTCCTTGTGATGTCCATCCTTGAAAGACTCATGGTCAGAGCTGCATTACTGGTACTGGTACTGCAGTATGTACTGCAGCGATTTTGCAAGTACTGGTACTGATACTGAATTACTCTTACAAAATTTTGCTACTACTGGTACTGGTACTGCATTACTGTCTTTAAAAAGTAGTACTGCTACTGCATTACAAGGCAGTATTTTTGGTTTTGATAAAAATGTCATTATTTTTACTCATATAGTAAAGCTGTAAATTCCATGTATTATTTTATTTTTGTGAAAAAGTAAGTTATCAAATCTATAAATAATTTGCTGCAATATTCCTTCAAATGTTAACATAGTATTCATCATAAAAAAGCACCAAAGACTTAAAGTAAAATTAAATTGAGATAAACAGAGTCAATAACTCTTTACTGGTAAAAAATCCTTATTGCAATCTTATTACAATGTATTTACTAGTAAAAAAAAAGAGCAAAATAAACACTAATTAATTACTTCTATTCTAAATAATCCTATTTCAAGTGATATTGTTAGCATCATAAAAAGTTTTATTTTACATTGGTATAAATTGAACAGAAGTGTAAAGGTGTGAAAGGCAACAAAAAGACTGGTGGGTTTAAAATGTAAAATTATTGCATTGTATTACAGTTGAATGGTTACTCAACAATAACATATGACATGAATATATGTTGTAATTATTGTTTGTAAAAAGTATGTTCGTTCATTTAAGTTGTAAAAATGTAATGTCAACTTTAAAGTAAATGATTTTATTTCTTTGTGGAATAATGTTTGCAATTATTTTGAATGACACTGTGTATTTATTCAAACTTTAATGAATATAAATTATAAAAGTATTAGTACTATTACTTAATTACTTCCCTCAAAAAAGTACTGGAACTGCAGTACCAAGCTAAAATCAAGTACTGGTACTGGTAATGGTACTGCAAAACTTGGCAAGTACTGGTACTTAAGTACTACACCCTTAGTACTGATGCAGCTCTGCTCATGGTGCCTTGGCAAAACATTCAGCAACATTCTGGCTATGAGGTGCCTCACAGTCTTTCAAGCATGGACTGAGCTGAAGATACATACAGCCTGATTTGGTCTTGGTGATGGTATGTTTTGCTAATTCTTAAATAAAACGGTAAGAAATTCCTACTTTATCCCTACTTTTTTACATCAGAAATCCCTACTTTGCCCTACTTTTTGGTAAAAAAATGCCCTACTTTTTCCCTAGTTTTTTTGGTAGAGGCAGTAGAAAGCCTGCAGTGATGCACTGCGGTGTGTTCTTGAACAAGTGCAGGACCTCAAGCGACCAGAATTACTTCGTTTCCCTTCAATGCGCAAGTACCTGGCCACAGTTATTCAGGTACATAATTACTCATTTAGATACTACTCCAGGAATATATGTAAATCAATAAGGCATGAAGGATGAACATTCAACATTCAAAAATAACATTATGTCCCTGTTTGTCAACAACATTATCTCTGGGGTAAAAATGTCATACAGAGTATCTTTCTTTCGGGGTGTAAATAATCAAATACACTGAAACGCTTTGAAAATACATTTTGAACTTTCGTCAGGACATCATTGAGAATATAAAGGTATACAACCTTACAAACTCTACATGTAGAAATGTCACAGGAGGTAAAGTTCATGCCTCAGAACAGTACCCGTCCTTACTCTAATTTGAAAAATTGCCCTTGTACAACTTTTAACACTTAAACCTTGTGGGGCACATAATTAGAAAACTAGTCAAGATTCAACTTGATACTTTGCAGGCAGGTACATCTAAATGAGTAGATGTGCAGTGCATAAGAAACGTAACCCTCCCTTCCCTAATTTTGGAGTAATTGGCCTTTGTTCATTTTCACACTTTGAACTTTGTCCAGGACATAAATTCAGAAATGTAAAATGTATCAACTTGAAACTTTGTAGTTAGATAGATGTCACTGAGTAGAAGTAAGGTGCTAAGAACTGTAATCCCCCTTCCCTAATTTTGGAGTTATTGTCCTTTATCCATTTTTAAACTTTGAATTTTGTCCTTGACATTACTTGAGAACTATAAATGGTATCAACTTGAAACTTTATAGGTAAGTAGATCTCACTGAGTAGATGAGCTGTGCATAAGAACCGTAAGCCTCCCTTCCCTAATTTCCAGTTATTACTCTTTTGTTCATTTTTACTCTTTCAACTTCACATTTTAATATATAATTATACTTCTGATAAGGGGGTATTCGGCACTTGTGACAAGCTCTAGTTTTGTCTTATATGACAACTACATTAGTTTGTCTATTATTTGCATAATATTTTCATAATTTGAGTGAGTAAAAGCCTTTTCATGATCAGTTTCACCTTTTGGCCATTTTATTATAATGCCAAAAAAAATATAATTAGTTGCAAATGTCTCTAGTGATTTTCTTGAATTGTGTTTGGTAATTTATTCTCATCTGGAAATTAGGTATTATTGTGGCCAATGCAAGCGAGAAATGAGTCCAAAGAAGTGCCAGACAACATGGGAACATGAACATATGCATAATCAGTTCTATTCGCCTTCAAGACGATGTCATTGAACTCGCCAAGATAGCAAAGTTATTGTTGGCAGTTGAGAGTGGCAAAGCTCACCAATTCAAAGGAATTTCCATGGATGATTTAGATTTTGATGGTATGTGTCAGTAAAAAGGAATAAGATTGGATTTGATTGATCCTTTGACAAAACACCATTTATGATTAAACCAACATGTTGTATAATGTATGTATGACCTAGATCTTTAAATGACCTTGGCTGTCAAGGCCCTGTTATTGAATTTAGCTAAAATTGGTGTAACTTTGTTATTAATGGATGGATTTGATTGATCCTTGGACAAAACAACATTTATGATAAAATCAACATGTTGCATAATCTATGTATGACCTTGACCTTGACCATCAAGGTCATGTTATTGAATTTTGCTAAAATTGGTGTAACTTCGTTATAAATGAATTGATTTTGATGATACTTGGATAAAACAACACTTACCACAACAGCAAGATGTATGACCTTGACTTTCAAAATCATGCAACTGAATTTTGCTAAAAAATTGTGTAACTTTGTTACTAATGGGCAGCTTTGGTTGATACTACAAAACAAAATTTTTTTTTGGCAAAACCTGTATGAACCATGAATATGGATATACACATTGATTTTATTTAAGTAATAAAACTCTGTATAACAGTGTTGCTTGTGTGTCTCATTGATTTGTAGCTCAATATTGACATAAAACCCATGACCTACAACCTGCTCAGGTTTCCATGACAAAGCTAATAAGGGTAGTGAACTTGTTTGCAGACAATACTCCACCACCTTTTTAAAATATACGATTTGTAACAAATATTCCAAATAGGTTGAAAGAAGAATAAAGATTGAAAAACAATGATTGAACTGGGGATCAACTGCCATGTGAGCATGCAGAGTAGTTTCTCTAGTTTTTGTGCCTATTAATCAGATGCAAGTACTACAAGTATTTTAATTCCTTATATTACTAGAGTTATTACGTAGAAGATTTAATAACAATAAAATTTACAATGTAACATTGCAACCTATTAAGAACATCATATGAAATACATAGTTACAAAATTATGAAATAAATAAATGCCACAAATGAAGTGGGGTATATTGAAATTGCCACGTCCATCTATTCGACCATTTTAGACATATTGATTATTGTTGTCTGCAGTAGATCTTCTTCACTGTTTAACATGCAACTTCTAAACTTTCACATATTCATCCCCACCATATGAAGTTGTGCAAGTGAAGTTTGCACGGTCCTGTTTTGAAATTTGATGAAATTATATGAAATTTCCCAGATAAATCCTGTATTCACGTCACGTTGAGGGTTAATCATCACTTCTGTGAAAGATCTAGTTATACCAGCAAACTATTGAAATTCTCTTTTACTATTTTCAAGATGTACAGAAGTAAGAAATATTACATTTCTTTTGACGCCAAGTATTTTAAAACACTCATTTTCTAATATAGGCCACAAGCATACATCTGTCTATTTTTTTTTTGGCAAAACCTGTATAAACCATGTACGAGGGGTTATCCAAAAATTCGTGGACTTTCTTTGTTGCGTAAAATATATTTGAGATATTAATTTAAAATTCAAACACTGCTTAGAAGAATTTATAACAAATAAACACAGAAAAATTCATGTGAGTAGCTTTTTACATTCGAACAATATTTTATTTTACATAAACACATGCCGGCGACAGCGGCGCACTCCAAAAATTATTGACGTCAACGTCATAATATTAACGTACAACTTGTACTTCACCGTTACGCAGTCAATGACGGTTACTGCTTCTCAAAATAATGTCCATCACTAAATTTCATATGCCACTTTAACACTAATGATTGTGAAATTTTCTTTTCTCTGTTCGTCTGCTGATTTTTATGAAATGTTTTTGTAGGTGTCAACCCCAAATTACAACAAAAATTTATGATTGTTATATGATATTGCGATTTTCTAATTACCGTGTGTCCGCCATATTCCCGTTGTAAACAATAAAGGCGTCTGGCGTTTCTAGCGATATCAAAAAAAAAAAAAAAAACGGATGTGACGTCCATTATTTTAAAGAATTACTTAAATGACATCATAGAAGAAACATGCGATGTTCAGCGGGTTTTCTACGTTATTTTTTTAGTTTTTTTTTAGCAAAAATATACGATGATTTACTTCGTTTTTCTACCGTGCGCCGGGTGCCGTGTATGTGCTTATTTAAAAGCAATATAAAATCATTATTTATGGACACAATTGACTGTTTCTTTCAAACTGTGTTGAAAATATTCTACAATGTATACTGATAAAATTTCATTACAATACACGTTGATGTTCAAGAGATATTTAAAAAGTCCACGAATTTTTGGATAACCCCTCGTATATGGGTATAAACATTGATTTTATTTGAGTATGAAATCTTGTAGTACAGTTTGCATGTGTGCCTTGGATTTTATAGCCAATATGACATAAACCCATACCTACAACCTGCTCAGGTTCCACTGACAAAGCTAATACTGGTAGGGGACTTGTGTATTGCATACAATACTTCAACCAGCCTTGTTAAATTATACTGATTTTTTGTAACAGATATTCCAGAAGTAGGTGAAGAAGAAGAAGAGATTGTGGAAAAACCAATGGAGTGTGATACTGATCAACTGCCAGCTGAGCATGCAGGTAGTTTTCTCTAGTTTTGTGTTTGTTTGTTTTTTTTTTTGTTTTTTTTTTGGTACTTGAGTTTTGTCTGGGCCATATCTCCTGAAGTATAAGGGGTATCAGTATGAAATTTCATAGATGGGCATAACTGAGTAGATGTGCAGAGCACAATAATCAAAACTCTACCTGTAATATTTTAAAATTGTTGCCTTTTTTGCAATTTTTGGTACTTTTTGTCCAGGCTTTTTTGTCCAGGCCAAAGGGCCACATCTACTGTACTACTGTATACTGTTAAAACGGCATTAAAATACCTAAATAAAAAAGAAAGCCCAGTCATATTAAACATTTAGTTTGTTCAACCAAACTCTTTACTATTAACATGCTGGATTTACACTGTTTTACACTATTCAGTTTTGTAAATTTATACGTTGCATTATCAGCTTATATCTATTGTAGATTCAATTCAAAAGTGTTCATATTAAGGTGAACATGTCTTGTACTTATTCTTTGTTTGGCCATTTGGAAATGAGACAGTCTGACGTAAGAGTTTGTTCAGCTGGTTACCATATATTGTTTTTTCTTGTAGACTGTGAATCTGGCCGAAACACAAAGATACCAGAACCGGACCTCAGAAACAATCATCAACTGACACAAAAAGAAAATGATCCTTGCTAAATATCCTGTCAAAACATGCTAAGTGCACACCACTTAAGGGGGGGGGGGGGGGGGGAGAGGGGGATGGTTATTAAAATAGTCATAAAAGGGAATGCTGTTTCACCTCCGCATGATATGGCAAAGGGCCATATAGTTTACCTAATGTCCACTGTTTGGGGGGTCGGTGGCTTATTGGGTCAGGTTTTGTGTTCGGCTCATAACTTGTTAGCCATTTGGGACTTGCAAATATATTGGCATAAAGATTAATCAAAATAAAGACAATTTGCAATCATAGCAGCTCAAAGGTCAACAAGTGGACACTAAACTGCTATCTTCTAGGTATAGTGGAAATCATGTCAGCTCAACTTTGTAGCATTAGGATTCCGGAATAAATTGCATTTATTTAATGGTCATCATACAGAGAGGATGTGTAGCATGCAAGAACCACATGGCAAGCTCAAATGTCTAGGTCACAGTGGACACTTATTCCTAATATTGATATGTGGAAGGAAATATTTTTGGCTGGCTCATAACTTTGTTATGCATGGTGGGATTTCAAAATAAATTGAATGATCACCATATTAAGGAACATGTTACATTCAAGAGCTGCACTGCCTGCTCAAAAGTCATGGTCACAGTGGGCAATATATATGCTTAGTACCTGTTCCCTGCTAGCACCAGAGGTGTAAGTATGCCATAAACAGTGAGTAGTACAATTGGCCATCATGAAATACTATAACATTTATACAAAACAAATTCCAAAAACCTCAACTACAGTCTGTGTCCATTGTCTCTTAGCAGGGCCATCTGTGTCATATGGACACATTTGTAGTATTTTATCTAGATCACAGATCTATCATTAAATATCTTGACCTGGACTAGAGTGTAATGTTGTGAAACAATGATCTTGGTCATGCAAAGTTTACAGTTATGTCTTAAAATATCTTTAGATACTTAAATATATTTATTTTGTATTATTTTGTATTGCCCCCGAAGGGTGGCATACAATAATTGCACCATCCGTCCGTCTGGTTAACTTATTTTGGCAAGTTGGCTTTTTCTCAATTTTTAGAGACAGAATGACTTGACACTTTATATACAACTTCATAACATTATTGGATTCATCATGTACTTGATCTCTGTAGGATTTTGGGCCAGTAGGTCAAAGGTCAAAGTCACTGTGACCTATAATATGAAAATCATTTTTGTATAACTAAAGTTTCTTGTTACCCACAGTCTTCAAACTTCATAGGATGATTGGTTAAAGTCTGTAGATGATCCCTCTGCTTTGGGATCAGTATGTCAAAGGTCATTGGGTCAAAGGTCATTGTGACCTTTAATATAAAAATCATCTCTTTATGATAACTAGAGTTCCTTTTTACCCACACTCTTTAAACTTCATAACATTATTGGATTCATCAAATACTTGATCTCTGTGTAATTTTGGGCCAGTAGGTCCAAAGTCAAAGTCACTGTGACCTATAATATGAAAATCATTACTATATGATAACTAGAGTTATATTTACCCACAGTCTTCAAACTTCATAGGATGATTGGTTAAAGTCAGAAGATGATTCCTAATTCTTTTGGGGTCAGTAGGTCAAAGGTCAAGGTCTATGTGGCCTTTATTATGATAATCATCTCTTTATGATAACTATAGTTCCTTTTTTATTCACATTCTTCAAACTTCATTGGATGTGAGATGGTCCCTATTGCTTTTGGGATCAGTAGGTCAAAGGTCAAGGTCACTGTGACTTTTAATATAAAAGTCATCTCTTTATGATAACTAGAGTTCCTTTTTACCCACACTCTTGAAACTTGATAGGATGAGTTGTCAAAGCCAAGATATGACCCCTATTGCTTTTTAAATATGAATTAAATAGTTAAATATGCTTTATAGCTGATGTTGACACTTCATACAACTTTATAATATTATTGATATATAATATTATGTATTAACTACTTCATCTCTGCAGGATATTGGGTCAGTAAATAAATGGTCAAGGTCACCATGTCCGTAAATGTGAAACATATCTCTGGAGTATAACCAGACTTACTTTAATTCACATTCTTCAAACTTTATATGATGTTGAGTTTTATTGAGAAAATAACTCAGAATTGTTATTTTGGTCCTAAGGTCACAGGTCAAGTGTACAGAATCACAAATTCTGAAAACCTTTGCCTATTACCAGGTAATTTGGAAATACTAGTTGTTTTTTTTTCCTAAAAAGAGCTCATTTTTTTACTTGCATATTTTAATAGTATTCAGCAGATAATTTTTATAATTTCATGCTTTCGGGGGCATTTGTGTTTTTCAAACGTGGATTCATGTTTATAAGTAAATGGATTTCTATGTAAGTTTTGATAGAATCATTATTTCCAGTTCGGTTGAAGAGTGCAAGGCTGTACAATGACAATTATGAGTTTGATGACTCAGACAGAGACCCTGATTACAATGATGGTAAGCATGTCTTTTGTTTGCATTTATGAAGATTAAGCATGAACAAAATCTGAGCACTCTGAAAACCCAAACAAGTTGCAACATCTATCATTTATTTTTTTGTCTGAATGTTTTTCCTGTGTTTTGAAATTATTTGAAATTAGGTTAGGCATGTGGTGACATTAACCACAACATAGCAAACACAAGCACTTTTTGTGTACTGGATACTTGTAATTTCTTGCACATAGAGACACACCTTATTTTCAAATAAGATTTTGACATTGAATTTTTAGTTTAAGGTTTTTGTTAAGTGTATTTATCTAAATATGAAGAAGAATTTTTCTTATACCTCATACTTTACTATTCAGTTTTTTTTTTATTAAATAGGTCCAACAGATTCTAGTGATTCTGATGGGGAACCAGTAGCAAAGCGCAAAAGTAAGTTTTTAGAATGTCTTTTTAAGCATGAAGTCATGTATAAACTGTTTATCTTGTAAAAATGCAATGCATTTCATATACATGGTCTTAGAGATTTGCTAGATTGAGTTCTTGCTTTATTTATGATATAATTGTAATGCGAATTAATCAAATTGAATTTCCTTTGCCGCAAGAATCTCTAGAGCAACTAATCCGCACCCGTCCAATCTGTCTGTGAAAAACAGGTGTGTTAAGCTAATAACATTTGCATGAAGATTCCATTTTACTTGGCAAAATAGCATATCAAGACAGCAGCTCAATGAAAGACGACCCCCCTTTCCAAAGTCAAGTCAACTTGCAGCTTAGCTGTAATCGTTGTGTAATCAAGATGTGTGCGTGAAAGAACCTCCTGGAAGGTCTCACTTACATCTAATATGTTAATATGAATTGTAAATGTAAAATTTGTGCTGTAGAATCCTATGCGTGAAAGGATTTTCTAATTGGCACAAGTTTGCATATTGAGACCATTCATCGCTATATACCAACCCCATCAGTTTCGCCAGCTTAACGTTATTAGTTAGCCAAATCGTGCAGGGCTGTACTTATTTAAATTGCCATGAAAGGATTTTAAAATATTTGCCACAGTTTTGCATATCAAAAAAATTGTCGATAAAAAACCATGCCACGCTGGCAGCATAAATGTCATTCTGTTTTATTATCAAAGCTCCTCAGGCAGCTAACGGCATTGATCAAGTGCTTTGTTAACATCCTACATGCGTTTATAAACAATAATTTTGCCTTGAATCATAGTCTTAAACACTGATGAAAAACAGTTATTTTGTTCTCAGAAAACGACAAAAGAAAAAAGCCATTGAGAAAAAGATCTAAAGCCGTGGGGAATCATAAGAGAAAAGAAAACCTCCTACAAAAGCAAAACATAAATAGAAAATTAACAAATAAATTGTTGAAAGAATGAATTCACATGTTAAGTACCAGGGTCAATGCCCAAGCAATTAATAAACGGAAAAGTCATTACATTCAGTTCATATCTCGAAATGAACTTCCGGCCCTTGTATCTAAAGTGGGAACATGTATACACCTTTTAAACACAAATGATAGTGATTTAATATTTAAAGTTATAAGATATAATGACATCCAGTATTTAACATCTCACAACTACATTATAGCACATTTTTTTCTTATTTTATAACCAATTCATTGACATAAAGAACAATTGAACTATTATTTTTTTTAACCAAAGTATTTTGCAATATATTATATATCGTATGAACTATTGTTCTGATATCTTATTGCACACAAAGGAACTAACTCTCGCTCCATGTCGACCCCGGCTATCCAGATTACTGGTAAAATTTCGTGCAGTAAAATATTTTGTACATAACTTTTTTTTTTTTGTGGATACTTCATATAATATGTTCTCCATCATTAAACACATCATATTGATTACATAAAAGACATAATATCATTGACTATAATAGTAGACGAATATCATAAATATAAAATTGGATACTATTAAATATAATCACTTATTATCCACGCCAAAGGCGAGGGAATATTAGTTTTGGCTGATGCCGGACCTTACCGATCGACAATAGAAAGATAGATAGTTTAGATACATATTGCAGATATAAGATACAATACTAGAGGATGATGACACAGAGTTAATACGTCAAATATTGAACATATAGCCTATTATATTTACATAGTTAAACTATATAATATATATACAATTAACTGAATTATTAAAGTACATATCGATAGCATATAAGACAATTTGAGATCATACAGAATATAATAATTCTAGTAATACTTATTGAAGAGAAATGTTATCATGGTCTAGTAATTCCACAGGGCAAAATTAAAATGGGGAAAAAAAAAAAAAAAAAAAAAAAAAAAAAAAAAACAAAAAAAAAAAAAAAAAAAAAATAAAAAAAAACACAAAAAAAAAAAAAAACTCGCTTTGCTGGTTTTGGGTCCTCGTCAAAAAAAAAAAAAAATAACAATATAAAAAAAAAAAAAAACACAAACAACAAAAAGAAAAGAAAAAAAAAACAAAAAAAAAAAAAAAAAAAATAATTCCTGTGCTCCCCATAGGCCACGCTTTCGTTCACATACTTAATAGGCGCTAAAAAAAAAAAAAAAAAAAAAAAACAACAAAAAAACGATTACCCGCGTGCAGCTCTGCTTCCCCCATTCCTGTTCGTCACAGCTTGTCCATCCTAATACCTCACAAAACACTCTCTCTCTGATCCGGTCTGTGCTCGCACCTAGCTCTTATCTACTGAGCAAATTATTGTAGTCCAATGGTCATGTCACTCGAGACAGATTAAATTTAGGAAAAAGTTTCTGTTCAATAGCCTTAAGTTACGGAATGAGATATTGTTACCAAATTTGGTTCATAGGTAAGTCTTGTTGAATTTTACTATAATTAGCTATAACTTTGTTATTAACGAATGGATGGATTGTCTTCATACTTGGACATAGCAACTCTTTGGATAAGACCTTCAAGTGGACCAGACTGAACTTGACATTCGCTCATAAATGACCTTTACCTCCATGGTCAAATTAATGTATTTTGCTGTAATTGGCTATAAGTTTGTAATTAACAAATGGATAGTCTTCATACATGTACAACAACAATCTACTTGCAAAAAACAGCCTCTAAGGAGACTAAACTGAACCTGACCTTGATCTTTAAGTTACCTTGAACTTCATACCTTGTTTTTGAAATCATGACCCAGGGTTAAAATTGGCCCTGCCCAGGGCATAACTGGATTTTTCATTATTTTACATAACCATTAATTTTGTAAGAAACCACAAAGGCTAGAGGTTAGATATTTTGATTAGTTTTGCAGTATGTATACAGAGTTATATTCATTTCTGTACTATTTTTTGGCAGCACCTTACTGGTGTTAGTGTCACACTGTAACACTGGATTTCAACAAAACTTTATAGGAACCATCAAAGAGCTATTTTGCTTGAGATTGGTCAGTTATGTTGGATGTTTTATATCATAATAAGTAAAGATAATAAATTGTCTTCATCATTACATGAGGTACATACTACAAAGAAACTTCCTTGAAGTAATTTGCATCATGTGGCGGGGGATATAAATTCAACGAATTTGCTTGTTTCTTCAGGGATTTACTTCAAACTTCAAATGTATGTTCCTTATCATCTGACAAGATTCATATTCCTAGCACCCATATGTTTAGAATTATCCCCTCTGTTAATTTAGAATTTTCTTTGAAAATTAATATATATTACTACAACTTCTTTATTTTTTCATGCATTTACTTCAAATTTCAAATGTATGTTTCTTATCATCATCCACATCATATGTGACAAGAGTCATTACTCTAGCGCCCATATTTCCAGAATAATCTCCCTTTTAAACTTTAATTTTTCTTAGAAATTTGTTGTTTTTTTGTTACACCAAACTTTGTCAGGATGTGTATATAAATGACATACAGATCAAAGTTTGAATTATGGTCATCTTGGGTCAAAAGTAGGTCACTAGGTCAAGTCAAATGAAAACCTTGTTAACACTATAGGTCACACTTTTCACATAGTGTTCATCAAACTTTGTCAGAATGTTTATCTCAGTAATATACTGGTCAAGTTTTATCATGGGTCATCTCCTGTCTTAAACGAGGTCACTAGGTCAACACAGTCTTATTAACACTCTAGAAGCCACAATTTTGATTTGAAATTCCTCAGCCATACTCAAAATGTTTATCTTGATGATGTACACTTCAAGTTTGTTTCAGATTTTATCATAATGGTATGTTTAGAATAATTTGAATAATCAGGCTCATGTGAGCGATTAAAGGCCATCATGGCCCTCTTTTTACCAAAACACATTTATCACTTTCAATGAAAAAATCTGAGTTGAATTTGGAATAAAACTAAAAACTTGACTGGCTTATTTATTATTTGTTGAGGAAAGATATGCTGTAATCACTTATTGTTCTACCAAGAAACATGAAAAATTTGTTTAGTGTTGTTATACCAGAACCAAACCTCTCTGCAATGTTAATATCGAACCTGACTGTAATATTGGCATGGATTGAACCAATCTAGGTTGGTTTTCACCTGACTGCATTGCCTGCTATTAAACTGGAATAAGCTAAAAGGCGTTGCCATGCCTTTGTTTGAATTTAGCCTCTTTGTTGGTTGTTTTATCAATAATGCAACCTGTCTGCGAATTTAACAGGTTGGTAGATCTGTATGCGGTCCTAATAATGTCCTCGGAATGCCTCTCAGTCACTCCTGTCAATTTATTTTAATTAATGTATTCATTGGAACCACGATTGCATTTATCTCCTGTCCACTGTTTGTTTTAATCTCTTGTCCCCTGATTGTATTTATCTCTTGTCCTCAGTAGAATTTATCTCCCGTCCCCTGATTTTATTTATCTCTTGTCCCCTGTTGCTTTTATCTCGTGTCCCCAGTAGCATTTATCTCCTGTCCCCTGATTGTGTTATCTCTTGTCCACGGTTGCATTTATCTCTTGTCCCCTAATTGTTTATCTCTTGTCCCAATGAAATTTAATATATTTACCCAAGCAGCCGTCTGTGGTATAAGGGAGGTAAATTATGAACAAATTGCAAAGAGAGTACGTATTTAAAGCAGTAGAAATGAATGTCTCAAGATTTCCGGATCCTGTGTACCGTCCCCATTTTACGTTCTAAAACGTCTAGAGAGAGAGAGAGAGAGAGAGGGGGAGAGAGAGAGAGAGAGGGAGTGCCGCTCAATCTGGTGCTAGAGGCCATGAGGAATGCTGCACTTTTTCATTATCCTTCATGTAAGACTCAATCAAAGCGATTCTGCAATTCTCATGTTATTTTGTTTATTTTAATGCTTCAGGATCAAATGTTTCAAGATATTGATACAAATCTTAGGTAATTCTCTGTATATACAGTATCAAGTGATTTCACAATTGAGCAGGTTATAATGACGAACCTTATCTAACAGGGATCGATAAAGACGGTAGAAGCCTCAAAAGACTTGTGAATTGTTAGCCAGCGACAGTTCAATAAAATTAGGCCACATCCCTGATTCGCACTTTAACATCTCAATAGGGCCCGCATAGAATCTGTCTACCATGGTATTGCATTGCGTTTCCGTTCGAGTGGAATTCAAAGTACGTTTGATGAACTATATGTACTTTTTTGCAGAAAAAAAAAAACAAAAAATGTCACCATTATTTTGGTAGGAAAAATACCTGTTTCCTTGGCGTAACGCTTTTATTTCCATATATGTTTCCGTTTACTCTCTCTGTCACTTTGATTTAGCGTAAATCAGTTACCTCTTATCTTATATAACAATGCAAATACAAATATAGGAATGACACTCTTTATTTAGCATTAATTATAAACATATTAAAAACGAGCAATATTTTATACATGGAAATTGCAAAGTATCAAACATCAACTTCCTGTAATTATATTATAAGAAAATGTATGAGATGTGTCAACCTAAAAACTAATGTGTCACTTAACCAGATAAAAGAAAAAAAAGAAAAATCGCACATTTTCTAAAATGTAATTAGGCGTCAAGGTGGGAATAGGATCTACGTGTTTTCTCGAGTAAAAAGAGCGAGCAAACAAGTCTATGAATACCAGATATTGACGAATATATCGAAAAATTCATGAACAAAACTTAAAAAAAACCTAAAGTGGAACATACATATGCAGTAATTATATCAGAAACGAGAATTATTTTATTCATTTCAGGTTAAAATGTTTCTTCAGTTTGTGATCCAACAGATTGCTTTTATTATTATTGCGTTCAAATTTTGATATTTTGATGCCTACTATTAGGCCACGGTTACCACTACAGTGACGTTTAACATAAAAAGAGACATCTCAATGTGTATATATAAATATAAGAGAATAAAAATTACTTTAAGACTATACGACGATTTCGGGTTGACTTCACATTTATTATGCTTAAATGTATGTATGTTGCCAAACAAATGTAGTTTTCAGATATAGTCATCGCAAAACAAAGTTGACATTAGTAAAAGTAAAACGAAAGACTCATTAGTTTTGCACAAATTAATCTTTGACATCAAATGTTGTCTCAAGCAGAAAAGAGAATCATACTTAGCCTCCCACTCTTTCTTTCTCTTTTCGGCATATGACCTCACACTTTTAGATAGATTGTCCAAAAAATTAACCACTGAAATAAGGATCCTGTCAAAAGTGTCATGGAACACTTGTTTAACCTTTTCCTTCACAGTTGTGAATAACTCCTCAATTTTTGTAATTCTGAAAAACAATGTAACTATGTTTTAACCATTCAGGCAATTGTTTCACACACAGTCGCCTGAAAGCTTTTGAAAGATTGCTTTATTTTTTATTATTCTTTCGAAATAACCAAGAATGCTTTTCAAAAATATAAAGTTTATGTTATTGCTTAACTCAGTTTAAAATGAAAATACATTATACTATTTTATTTTCACACGTGTTCATTTTTCTCGGAATAACAATTTTTTCCTTAAAAGTTTGAGCCTATGCTTAAAAAATCTTCAAAACTGCAATCATTTCATACTGAATGAATGATATATCGACATCCATATTGAAGGTGTATGCTACAGTAAGAAATCGAATCTTTATGCAGAATAAAAACTCTATAGTCATAGATGTTATTGTAGCCTTGTATAATCTTTTATTTTATCGATCAAAAAAGTGCAAATTTAAACAAGTTTTTTGTTATGTATGGACTGTGACACTTATTTTATGACCCAATATAACACATATTTCAGCTAGACGTATTTAAACAACCTTCCTGACACATCTCAAAGATGTTTGGACTAAAATATTACATTTAATAAGGTTTAAACAAAAACAAGTGTTTGGGCAAAAAAAGGACATTTGGTTATTATTTGAGCCCTAAAAATGGATGGGGTGAAGAGTCAAAACCCGTCTATATCAGATTAAAGGTTAAACAAGTATTGTTGTGTTAAACTATCAAATTTGGAACAAATAAAAAAAGGCATGATATCCATTTTCAAATTTTTTTTTCGGTTAAAATTTATAAGGCAGTATGGATATATTCTATCTGACCTCTCAATGCCATAATTTTGCCCAATGTCTATGTTTAACCTATGATTTGAGCATTTAAAAAGTATTAATTAAGAGTAACAGTGTTTCGTTTAATAAGGCTTTTTATTGTTCAATCTTAAGCATTGGTAAAGGCTTATTTTATGAGCTTAAGAAGCACTGAACGTAATAAGAGAACTGAACAGACTCAAGAATAAGTATCACTTAAGCTCTGTCTTTTAGTTTCCTTGAAAATAAGAATGTCTTAGTTACGAGCAATGATATCGATTATAGTCCAAACATAATGACAACGGCTCAGAAGAACTCTAATCGGAATATAGACTATGCGACACGTTCTTACTACTCATACATAAACATTGGCAACATAACCATTCTTGATATTTTCCTGGTCTACAATATACTTCAAACGCTTCGTTTACAATGTGACCCGGACGCTCATAAGTTGAGCTAGAACTCTTTAATACAATTCCATCAAAACTATCATTGATTGTTTGAAAGAGATAAACTTGTATTTTAGGAATTAATTGGCTCATTTCGTTGTCATTTACAAAGTTTAACATAACATTTTAAGCCTATTACAGCATTCGGCACGAAATGGCCAGTTATGTGTTGACGTGCCGTAAAAATCCAAACAAACAAACAAAAATAAAACAATTTCCAATTTTAGGAAAATATTTGATATAATTTGGATACACTTACATATCTCCAATTTTCCTCTTTTCTTTACAAGATATTCGAATAATTCTGAAAAATACAAGTTGTCACAAAATAAAAGGTATTTATTCAGGTATTTATTTCATTTCATTTCATATAAATAATTTATTTAATTCTAGACACTATCTTTTATAAACGTATTCACATTCATCTGCATTTTATAGTATATAACGTATTTCAATTTATACTTGAGCTATTATAAGTATACGTGTTGGTGTCAATATGTTATGCAATATGAAGCATATTTTTTTTTAATTTCACTCCTGACTTTGGATAGGGTTTATATAAACTATGTTGTGTTAAAAGCTTCATGCCTCCAGATGAGCGAAAATATTTTTAAAAAAAATCAAATTTGAGAAAAATGTACTAAGATTTTAGGGAAAAAAATATTCACGATTCAATTAAGTAATTCGTAATGTATTTGTAATGTGCGATTAATGACTGTTTTTTCAGTATTTTTAACTATATTTCTACTGCGTTACTAACGCAGTAAGGCCAATTTTTGCATATTTTGTTATCTTTTTCGTAATTCACGTAGGTTGTAAGTGCTATTGATAATTTTATATTGCTTCCTTTTGGTTATTTCACTAAATAATACTTTTAAACACATTTTCAAAATTTTCATGAAAATTAGCATAAATCTGGAGGCGTTCTGCTTCAAACATTTAAATTTATTTCAAATATGGCTTGTAAACGTTTACTTAAGTGCTAAAATCATGGCTCACATAAAAGCTGGAGGAAAACTAGGAAAATCTGCTATAAATGTTTATAATGATATTGGTAATATTTATGGCTACAATGAAGTAACTAATGTAACTGTTTTCGAGGTACATGTAGATGCATAAATTTTAAAAAAATATGAAAAACTACTCGATTGATACTCCATTTACTAACATATGACAAGAAGGAGCCAGTTATATACATTCACAATTTACTCAACGTTCCTTAATATGACAGGAGCAGTATTTTCTAATATTGTGACTGCAGTTGCAGGTTTGCAAATGTAACAATTTCTTTAGGCAACCATAAATAGTTGTCTACCATGAATTGCAATGGAATTGGCAAATGTCAAGAAATTAATGAACTTTATCTTTTATACTTGATTTTCATCATTATTTTTCTAGTTCTTTCATATCCAAGTATTATAGAAATGTCGTATTAAGAAAAATTGAAGAAAAAAAACAAACAAACTTCAATAATGTTTGTCCTTCGACTGGAAATGATATTTGCAATGAAGTATCTTATGCCACTTTTTCCGAGGAAGATGCAGAAATTCAAATATATTGTAAATAATGGATACTCCATTTGCTAACACGCGACCAGAAAAAGGGGCCAGTTTAATGCATTTAAATGTTTCCTTAATATGACAGGCACCGTTTTCTCTAATATTGTGACTGTAGATGAAAGCCGGTTTCACTATTTTACGCCAGTTTACAAGTGCAACAATATGTTTCGGCCAAACATACATGTTTGTCGATCATGCATTGCAAAGGGAATAATAATAATCAAGAAATTTATAAACGTTTGTTTAATAACTTATTGGCCACATTCTTGTTTCTAAAGACCAAGTATTATAGAAATGTCGTGTTAAGAAACAAATGAAAAACATTATGCATTATTAAAGTGATTATCCTGTCCGTGCTCTGCTTTGTGCCCTGTCCTTTTTTGTTTGGGAACCTCCTGGGTTCCTTGCCAATGGGTCGTGTGGGTATTCATTGAACGCCGCTTTTCTTGATGAACTTGTTGTTATTGACTTTTTCAAGAAAAGGAGAGACTTTTCTTAAACATCCACCGTATTCTCCAGATTTGCACCCATTGATGTTTTTCTCTGACTGAAATTCGTTTTGCAGTTCATCGCTTCAAGAGTAGCTTTTAACTTATTTTACTTGGTTAAACCATTTTTCATTTATTGAATAGTTTACTTAGGGAATTCCATGTTAATGTCATTAAAAATTGGATTAAACCTCTTCAATTTTGTATCTCTGAAACAGAAGGCTATTCCGAGGTGTTGAAATAGAAAATTCTAAAATATTTGCTCTTTTGTACATAAACATGATTTCAATGATATAAATTGACAAAAGCCTCTAACTGAAGCTTAAATGTTTGCTTTTTAGGTATTTGGCTATTTGTAATTATCCATAAAATTATTATAGTTGACAGAGACAAACAATTAATTCCTGTCAGCATGTCAATATTTTCATTGAGATAAAAGCTTTTAAAAAAAGTTATGAAAGACATTATAACTTTAATATGTAAGGGGAATCAACTGATTCAGCAATAATCATTATTATAATATATTTACAATACAAATTCGATTTGTTCGATTTTTTTTGCCTTTTGAGACATGATATTATAGTCATGTTTATAAGACTGACTGAATTGTTACAGTAAACGACAGTGTTGATATTGCGGTCTTATCATATTATTGAAAGAAATGGCTATTTATTTATCATCGTTAGCGCGCTAATGCAACTTCGTCAAGTGACGTCGATTACTTTCAATAATAGATTTTGGAGTCTCTTCTTCAAATGATCGCAAATGCAAAGCTTTCGTGTATGAAGGGAGTATCCGCCAAATATGTATCTTGGTGACATTTTTTATATCTGAATGCAACTAATACATGTATTTTGATCTCATAAATATTAACTGATTTGCTAACTGAAATGTGAATATTTAAAACTGCAGTTATATTCCTGCTTTATTGCACATTACTGCTTATGCAGTATAATTTACATTTCAAATGCAAATACACGATATTACTTCATTGCACGAGAGACTTAGATATATTATGATTCTATGTGTATCAAAATAAATATTTTTCATAACACATTTCTATATACTAATATTCAACAGAATCATTATTTCAATTGCATGTTGTGATATTGCCTAATTGCACATTGATTCACCACTAAACAATAAAATGACAATTAATGGCTATGTCATGAAATAGCTATATTGGCATTGCTATTGCCTAGTTATATTTTTCTTTCACTATTTAACTATTTTTCTTTTTGAAATCAATTAAATAAACAACATTTTTTCTTCGAAAATAAAGACTTTTTAAAAATCGCAAAAGTATTTATTGAGTGAGCATGGAAGATGCAGGCACTAATATAAATAGGATATAAACGAATACAGTCAAAATAAACGAAAACAGTCAGTCATATTTTAGTACCAAATGGTGCTATGACGTGAAAAACCTGAGAAAAGAAACACGCAATTCTATAAATAGAATCACGCAATTCTATAAATAGAAACACGCAATTCTATAAATAGAAACGTGCAATTCTAAAAATAGAAACATGCAATTCTAAAAATAGAAACACGCAATTCTCTCAATAGAAACACGCTCTTTTTAAAAAACAGCAATTCTAAAAATAGAAACACGCAATTCTCAAAATAGAAACATGTAATTCTGTAAAAAGAAACACACAAATCTGTAAATAGAAACACGCAATTCTAAAAATAGAAACTCGCAATTCTAAAAATAGAAACATGCAATTCTCTCAATAGAAAAATGCAAGTCTGTAAGTAGAAACTTGCAATTCTAGAAATAGAAATACGCAATTATTAAAATAAAAAAACGTAATTCTAAAAATAGAAACAGGCAATTCTATAAATAGAAACACGCAATTCTAAAAATAGAAACAGGCAATTCTAAAAATAGAAAAACGCAATTTTAGAAATAGAAACACGCAATTCTATAAATAGAAACACGCACTTCTAAAAATAGAAACAAGCAATTCTAAAAATAGCAATTCTAGAAATAGAAACACGCAATTTTAAAAAAAGAAACATGCAATTATATAAATAGAAACAAGCAATTTTATAAATAGAAACACGCAATTCTTAAAATAGAAACACACAATTTTAAAAATAGAAACACGCAATTCTAAAAAAATAGAAACACGCAATTCTATAAAAAGAAACACGCAATTCTAAAAATAGAAACATACAATTCTATAAATAGAAACAATCAATTCTATAAATATAAGCACGCAATTCTAAAAATAGAAACACGCAATTCTATCAATAGAAACACGCAATTCTATAAATAGAAACACGCAATTCTAAAACAATAGAAACACGCAATTCTAAAAAAATAGAAACACGCAATTTTATAAACGGAAACACACAATTCTATAAATAAAAACATGCAATTCTATTAAAGAAACACGCAATTCTAGAAATAGAAACAGACAATTCTATAAATAGAAACCCGCATTTCTATAAATAGAAACGTGCAATTCTAAAAATAGAAACAAGCAATTCTAAATAGGAACACGCACTTCTATAATGTTGTTGTTGTTGTTGATGATGACGATGATGATGATGATGATGAAAATGATGATGATACAATATCCGGTCATTATTTAATGCACAAATCTGAGAAAATGCAGTAATTCAACCTTCAAGTCAAGGTCATTTAAGAGCCCAAGTCAATTTGGGTTTGAATGTTCTGTAATAATATGAAGTTGATCCCTTCAATAATAGCAAAGCTACAGCCAGTTATAGCAAAAACAATGAAAATTCCATTTTATTTAGTTCCATCCATTGTTTTCTCGTTTAGGGCACATGCATTTTTTTCCTTGGAGACCATATGCCGCTTTTCATGGAATGGCACTAACGTGTCACATTCAAGGTTCCATGATAACCGTATCCGCCATATGAACACATCTCCGGATGTTTCAATAGTCTAAACTTTACCAGTTCATGTAAAATGTTGAATTCTGCTTAAGCCAGTGCTAGCAGGGGGGCGTGGACGGTAGTTTGCACTTGACAGTACCGTCCATGAACAGGCTCAATTAAACCGAGCCTGCAACATTTTCAATTTTGCCGTATTGGACTTTCTTTAGGGATTCTTATTTCTCTCTGTTTTATCCGTTTAGCAATGATTTTGTGCATGCGTCATTCGCTTTTAGGGCAATAAATTACCATATTTATTTCTTACAAGCAGTTTTGAAGTTTACATGTTCTTATATCATGATCGATTAAAAAAAATATAGAAATTAAATAACAGACACTAGATG